CATTTCAAATCTATTAATATTTGCTGATATATTTGGGTGCTCTGGTGTTGGGTGCATACATATTTACTATTGTTATCTCCTATTGTTGAAGTGACACCTTTATCATTATAAAATGGCATTTTTGCCTTTTTGTATAATTTTTGACTTAAAGTCTATTTTATATTATCTAAGCACAGCTACTCCTGTTCATGTTTGGTTTCCATTTGCGTGGGATATCTTTTTCCATCCTTCACTTTCAATCTGTGTGTGTCTTTATAAGTGAAGTAAATTTCTTGTATGCAGCATATAGTTAGGTTCTGTTTTTAATTCATGCAGCCACTGTATGTCTTTTAATTGGATAATTTAATTTGCTTAGTAACAGTGTTATTATTGACAGGTAAGGCCTTACTATTGCCATTTTGCTACTTGTTTTATAGTTGTCGTGTAACTTTTCTCTTCCTTTCTTACTGTTTTCCTTTGTGCGTAAGTGGTTTTCTCTGGTAGCATGTTTTAATTCATTGTTTTTAATTTTTAGGATATCGATTATAGTTTTTTACTCTGCGGTTTCCATTATGCTTATATAAAGCATCTTATAGCTATAGCAAGTTGTTTAAAACTAACACCAACTGAACTGATTGCACATAACACAAAGAAAAAACAACCCTGTATACATTAACTTCCTTCTCTCCCCACATTTTGAATTTTTGAAGTCACAGTTTACTTTATAAAAAATGTTGCCTATTTAAAATAGTTGTATTTTATACCTTCAGGATTTCTGTTTTATTTTAATTATTTCAATCTCTCTTAAAATTTCTTGATAAATATTGCCTATTTAAGATAGGCAATATTTTTATTTTTAGTAGTTTAAAATGTTCTTATTTTTAATAGTTTTGGCTTTTAGTCTTCTTACTGAAGATATAAATCGTTTAAACACCACAGTTACAATATCAATTTAACAATCACCTTAGCATTCTATTCTTTGGGTTTGAAGAACTTCCATTAGCACTTCTTGTTGGACAGGTGTAGTAACAATATATTTCCTCAGCTTTCATTTGTCAGTTAAAGCTTTTTCTTTCTTCTTCATTTCTGAAGGATAGCTTTGTTGGGTACAGTGTTCTTGTTTGGCATTTTCTTTAGCACTCTGGATATATTGTTTTACTCCCTCCTGGCCTGTAAAATTCCTGCTGAGAAGTCTGCTGCTGCCATGTGTATTGGATCTCCCTTATATTTTGTTTCTTTTCTCTTGCTGCTTTTTGAATCTTCTCTTTGTCTTTTGCCTTTTAGTGTTTATGTCTTGGGGTGTTCTTACTTGTGTTAAATCTGATCGATGACCTTTAACCTTTCTGTGCCTGGATATTTATATCTTTCTTCAGGTTTGGAAAGTTCATGTTATTATTTATTTGAATGAGCTTCCCATCCCTTTGTCTTTTTCAATTCCCTCTTTGACTCCAATAACCTGAATATGCTGTCTTTTAATGTTGTCTCATAGGTCCTGTAAGCTTTCTTTATTTTCATTCTTTTTTCTCCTCTGACTGTATATTTTCAAATAATCTGTCTTTGAGCTCACTGCTTATTCTGTTTGATCACTTTTGCTGTGTATGCTCACTATTGAATTTTTCATTTCATTCATTGTATTTTATACCTTCAGGATTTCTGTTTGAATTATTTCAATCTCTCTTGAAATTTCTATGATAAATTTCTAAATGGATTCTCTGTGTTTACTTAAAGTTCATTGGGCTTCCCTACAGCAGCTTTTTTTAATTCTTTGTCTGAGAGAACACATCTCCATCATTTTAGGGTTGGTCTCTGGTGCCTTATTTTCTCCATTTGTTGAGGTCATATTTCCCTGAATGTTCTTGATGCTTGTGGAAGTGTAACAATATCCATGCATTCAGGGATTAGGTATTTATTTCATTCTTCACAGACTGGCTTTGTTTGTGCTTGTCCTTTAGAGGGATTTCCAGGGATTCTAAGCTGACTTACTGTTGTTTTACCAGAGCCTGTGACCACTGCAGCTATCTCAGCATTATAAGACACCCTAAGCCCAGGCTTACTGTGAACCTCTTGAAGACTCTAAGGTTGACATAGTTTTTTGATCCAGATGGACCTGGGAAAGACTCAAGAAGGGTACTGGTATTGTGTGAAAATGCTGAATGACTGACCCAGTGACCCAGATAGGCGTACCGCCTAGCAAGTCTCTGTACAGGTAGGCTGTGTCCCCAAGTGCAGCAAGAGTAGCTAGAGTTGAGACTGGGCCCTTTTGGGAACTGCTGTGAGAAGGAGGCTAGTGGGCCCATGTCAGTTCAGATAAGCATGCATCATCCAGCAGATTCCTGCACAAGTAGGCTAGTTTCTTGACTGCTGCAGGAAGGGCCAGAGCTGAGATAGGCCCCCCTCAAGATCTGCTGTGAAACAGAGGGTGGGGTGCTGGTATAGCTACCTGACTGTACCAGGAGGGTTTTGAGCTGAAATTGGGCCCCCTTGGGATTTTCAGTGAGACAGAGGATGAGGAGGTCAATTTCAGTGTAGAGGGGTGCATGCCACCCAGCAAGTTCCTGCACAGATAGGATAGTTCCTCAACTGCAGTGAGAGGGGCCAGAGCTGAGATTGGGGCCCCTCAGGATCTGCGGTGGGATAAAGGTTATAGAGCTCAGTCTTGTTGGCTCAGAGGGCACATGTCTCCCAGGAGGACCTTGCAAAAATGGGATGGTTCCTTGACTGCAGCAGAAGGGACTGGAACTGAGACTGGGCTCCCTTGGGGTCTCCTTTGTGATGTAGGATGGAATACTCATCTTGTTGGCCCAGACAAGTACTCATTTCCCAGCAGATTCTCAGCACAGATGGGATAGTTTCTCACTGCAGTGAGAGGCACTGGAGCTGAGAGTGGACCCCCTTGGGATCTGCTGTGGGACAGAAGTTGGCAAACCCATCATGGAGGCTCAGAATTCTGGGTTACAAGAGATGAGTGAGTCTCACTTTGGGGTTCTTGTGTGAGTAGCTCTGAGCTGGGACCTCAGCTAAGGAAGGCTGAAGCAGAGCCACAGTGCACCTTTCAGGGTCACTGCCAAGATCGATGTCAGCAGGCAGACAAGCCTTTCCACCACGGCACTGGTGTGCATGATTCCTTCTGGAACCCTTGGTAGATGGTTTTGGTTGTAGGCTCAAAGCCAAATGAGGCTTTAAACAAACCCCTTTGAGGGCTAGGATATTACCGGGCTTGAATCAACAAGCAATCTTGGCAAATCAGCCACTTGGGTGTTGGTCTGCACTCTAAAAATGACTCTCCTGGATCTTGGGCTCCACTGGGATTTGACAAACTCCTACCTGAATCCTGAGGCTCTTGCAGAGAGACTTTTGACTTGGAAAATGGGTGCAGAATTGTTATTGTTCTGGGAGATATGAGTAGGTTATTTTCTAGTCTGCTATCATGGTAACATCAACCCTCAATATTTTTAAGTACCATCAAAATCAATCAGTTTATAACTGATCTTTCCTCTGTTTCCAGATTTGTATTTTCAACTACTTAATTGACATCTCTACTTTGATGTTCTATAGTTACCTCAAACTCAACTTATCCTAATAGAATTTGTCATTTTATCCAATTCTGTTATGTCTTATATGCTTTATATCACTGTAGGTTTTATCTAATCCAGAAACTAGGGGATTATTTTAGATTTCTTCACACCTCATGTTTAATCAGCCAGTAAGGCTAAAAGTTACCACGTTTCATTGCTTCTCTGAATCACTACAATAATACTTCATTTTTCCCTCCCACAATCCAGTTGCTTTAATCAAATTTATACTTTGTATCACATTTTCCCATATTTCATACTTTTTTCCAATGTAAATCCAAGCCTGTAATTTTCCTGTTGAAATACTTTCCAATGGCCCCCCACTGTCTGCAAAATTTAGTTCAATACTTTAGTATTAACTCTTTGGTGATTTGACTTCTTTATTATCTGACCTCCCCCATTTTCTCCAGCTTTCACTCTTGATTTCCTCCTCCCTGTCATTAGATTTTAATATATTTATTTTAGCTGTGATCTCTCCCACATTTCTAATAAGCTAAAATCTTCTATTCAAAATGTCTTCCTACCTTTCTGCTTGGTAAACTACTAATCCCCTGCTCAGGGGTCTTTCATAAAGCTTTATTCCTCTTATTTCACATCTGAGGGATTATTTCTTCTGTCTTATTTCTACTTTTTTATACTCTGTTAATTTATATGTCATACATAGTCTTAATTTGGTAGCTGTTTGTTTCCTCCCCTAAAATAAAGTCTCCTTGTCATCAGGTACCTTATTAATTGCTGATACTCCAGAGCTTAATATATTATTCATTGGCATACAGTAGACAATCTGAAAAAGAATGAGCTAAGCACTGAAATTCTTAGAATCAAGTAACCTCAGTTTACAGTGTTAGATAGCAATCAGTGAAACATCTTTCTGAAGTAATGTTCCATATTAGAAGAGAGGGTGAACTGAATTCAGAACAGATTTCTAGAAAATTCTCCTTATTGTGGAAAAACAGCCTGTCTGCTTTGAAAAGCAGTTGAACAGATGATCCAAACAATGATAAGAAGAAAGAACCAAGGGGAAAGAAAGATAAGAAAGATAGCAGATATGTTCAGGGCAGAAAGGAACTTTAAATAAGGAGAAGACAAGTCAAAGAACAATGAAGGAAATATGAATTAGAGGCCTTTTGATTCATACTTTGTTAAAGTAGAAGCTAGTTAAAGTAGAAGAACTCAGACTGTAAAATGTACTTTCTACTTGTATGGACATAAGTATTTAAAGTTACCCTGTGAATTATATGGCATCGTGGCCCAAGTCTTTATAGCCTTCACTCTAGAGATAATAATGAATCTTTTTGACAGTCTCTTACAAAAGCTCTATTATGGAGAGTTGACAGCTATTCAGAGGACCTAGATAACAATTTCATTCTGTAATAATCTCATATTTAAATAGGGAAAAGCTTTCCCCTTGCAGCCTAGAAAAATATGAGCAGAGACATTTTTGAATACTGAGGAGAAAAATTCACCTCGCTTGTATTTTATTTTGCACAAAGTCTGTAGGCTTCGTAACTGCTTTGTTATACAGGGATATCATTAGGACCCACATCAGGCATCAGCAACAGCAAAATTCTCACATTTCTAGGGTTGTTAAAAAGTGTTCTCAGCTTCCTCAGCAACAGATGTAAGATCACTTTGTCTTCGAAACTGGAAAAAAAAGCAACCTCTTACAAATCATATCATGTTTCTTAAAATTATACAACTAATAAATAGGTCTTTTTCTTTAAAAAGACAGGCAATACTGATATTTATAGAGAAAAATCTTAAAGTATTGTATTTCTGTCCCATTCCTATCTCAACCTTCTTCTTTCTTCCTTTCTTTCCCTCCCTCTCTCTTTCTCTCTCTCTCTCTCTCTCTCTCTCTCCTTGTTTTTTTGTTTTTGTTTTTGTTTTTTTCCCCAAGGTCTCGCTCTGTCACCTGGGCTGGAGTGCAGTGATGCGATCTCTGCTCATTGCAACCGCCTCTCTCTCAGGCTCAGACTCAAGCAATTCTCATGCCGCAGCCACCCGAGTAGTTACAATTACAGGCCTGTGCCACCCTGCCTAATTTTTTTTCTGTTTTTAGTAGAGATGAGGTTTCACCATGTTGACCAAGCTGGTCTTGAACTCGTGGCCTCAAGTGATCCTCCTGCCTCAGCCTCCCAAAGTGTTAGGATTACAGGTGTGAGCCACCATGCCCAGCCGTCAACCTACTTTCTTAATTTCTGTTGGATCACTTGTATCTTTTGGTATACCTTCAAACTTTTATAATAAAAATAACCATAGTCTTCTTGAACATAAATCTTAATAGATGCCAGCACCCTATCCTCTCATGACATTTCTCACCTATTTCCTATTCCTTTCCTTCAAGGTAGTGGTCATTTTGACTTTTAGATAAAGTCATCAATCCTGTCAATTTTTTTTTCTAGTTTCATCAACTAAGCTTGCATCCCTAAACACTATAAGTTAGCTTTAGTTTTACCTGGTTTCAAAGTTCATATGAATGGAGTTTTTAAAACTATGCATTCTTTTGAGTTTTTATACTCAATATTTTATTTGTGAGATCTATCCATGTTGTTAAGTACAGGTATAGTTCGTTTTAACCAGCATGTCAAATTTCAATAAAGTAATACACCTCAACTTATTCACCACTCACCCACCTGTGTTGTTTCCACTTTGGGGCCACTATGAATGATACTGCTCTCTCTATATTCCTGGAAGTTTATCTGAATGCATAAGGGCAAACGTTTCTGTTGGTTATATACCAAAGACTGAGATTACTGATCATAGGGTATGCACAGTTTAATTTTTAGTAGGTAATGCCCAAAAGGTTTTAAAAATTGTTGCAATAACTTATATTTCAACCAGGAGTGTGAGAGATATTTCTTTTATCCATAATCTTTGCTATCTGTTGGTGTCATCAATATTTTGAAATTCAGTCATTCCAGTAGGTATTTTAAAACATCTCATTGTCATTTTAATGTTGTTATTACAATGAATAGATTTATATCTGACATTTTGTTATTTGTTTTATATGTGTCTCATGTGTTTTATTTTCCTTTTTTTTTTTTTTTGGTGAGATAGGGTTTTGCTCTGTCACCCAGGTTGGGGTACAGTGACATGAATATGGCTCATGGAAGCTTTGACCTCCTGGGTTCAAATGATCCTTTCACCTCAGCCGTTCAAGTAGCTGGGACCACAGGCATGTAGCACCATGCCTGGCTAATGTTTTTATTTTTATTTTTTTGTAGAGACGAGGTCTCGTCGTGTTGCCCAGGTTAGTCTTAAACTCCTAGGCTCAAATGGTCCTCCTGAGTTGGCCTCCCAAAATGCTGGGAATATGGCTGTTAACCAACCAAGCCTGGCCATTGTGTTCTTTATTTTTTAAAAATTAAACATACTTTGCCTATGTTAATTCCCTTATTTTTAAGCTGTTATATTTTTAGCTTTCTTAATCACTAAATAAGCACCCTAATTTATCACAGACTACTTCAGATGAATGCTAATTCAATTCCAGTAAAATACAGCAACTTTATTCCCATATAACTCATTCCCTTTCCTTTTCTTTGAGCTATTATTGTCATATATTCTATCTATATATATTATATAACTACCAATATGGTGTTATAATTACTGCTTTTATGATCTTATCTTTTAAAATTTAAGATTAAAAATGGAGAAACTATCTATTGAAGAAGGGTTGGCAAGCTATGATACATGGACCAAATCTAGCCCACTGCCTGTTTTTGTAAATAAAGTTTTGCTGGAACAAGCCATATCCATTCCTTTATGTATTGTCTATGAATACTTTCATGCTAAAAAGTGGAGCTGAGTAGTTATGACAGATGGAATTAATGTTACTAATAACACGACCTTAAATTAAGGTAATCATCCTGGATTACCTGGGTGAGCCCAATGAGATTAATGCAACTGTCTTTTAAATCAGTAAACAGAAGAAAGCACAAAAAATGTATTTATACATCTTTTGTTATTTCAGAACCACCTACATGATTACTTTTACTGGTACTTTTTTATTTATTCATGTGCATTTAAGTTTCATCTGGTGTCACTTCTTTTCAGTCTAAAGAACTTCCTTTAGTGTTTCTCATGAGGAATTTCTGCTAGCAACACATTATTCATCTGTGTATGTCTCTATTTCACCTTCATTTTTGAGGGATAGTTTTAAAGGATAAAGAATTCCTGCCTGTTTTCCCCCATGTACTTTAATATCCCATCCATTGTTTTGGATGAGAACCCAGCTCTTAATATTATTGTGGTTCCCTTGTATATGAAGAGTCTTTTTTTTTTTTTTTTTTTCCCGCTGCTTTCAAGATTTTCCTTTTTATCAGTTTGACATGGAGGTGTCTAGGAGTGGATCTCTTTGTTTTACTTGAAGATCCTTGAGCTTTTTGGATGTATTGAATATTTTCCATGAAATGAGGGGAATTTGGGGCCATTATTTCTTTAATTTGTTTCTGGTACTCCCCATTTTTATGGGACTCCCATTATACATGTGATGGTATCTCAGAGGATTTTGAGGTTCTGTTCAGTTTTCTTCATTTTCTTTTTTTTCCTGTTCTTTGGACTGGGCAATATCTTTTTTGCTATCTTTATGTCTGTTTATTTTGTCTTTTGTCAGCTCACCTCTGCTCTTGAGTTCCTCTAGTGGGTTTTGGGTTTTTCATTTCAGTTCTTGTATTTTTAAACTCTAGAAACTCCATTGGGTTTTTTATAATTTCTGTCTCTTTTATTGACTTTTATTTGATGAATCATTGTTGCCATCTTATAATTCTTCAAACATATTTACTAATTTTTGAAGCCTTTCTTTGTTAAGTCCAACATTTATCCTTCCCTTGCTCCAAAACACTATGTCTGTTAAGTGTTGTTTTGAACTCGATGGTTAACTATTTCCTATTATTTGCATATTTTTGTTGTTGAAAACTGGACATTTTAGATAATATATCATAGCAATTTTAGATTCTGATTGCCTCATTTCCCAGGAGCGGTGGCTATTGCTAACCACTAGTATCTTGGAATACTGGAAGTCCTAACTCCCAATACCTTGGAATATGACTGTATTTGGAGATAGGATCTTTTAAGTGGCAATGAAGTTATAATAAGGTAATTAGAATAAGCCCTAATGCAATATGACTGGTATGCTTAGAAGAGCCTAGGACACAGACACATAAAGAGAAAAGACCATGTGAAGACACAGGAAGAAGACAGCCAAGTGAAAGCCAAGGAGAGAGGCCTCAGAAGAAACTAACCCTGCCAACACCTTGATGTTGAACTTCTAGCCTCTAGAATTGTAAGAAAATAAATTTGTTGTTTAAGCCATAGTTTGTGGTGCTTTGTTATAGAAGCTCTAGGAAACATTAGACACCTTGAGCCAGTAAAACTTCTACCCTTTCCTAATGAATCAGTGTAGCTTGAGCAGTATATTCAAAGTTGAGGCTGCCCCAGCTTTTACTTTATTTTTGCAAGGCCTCTTATTCAACCAAGGGCTCACTACGACCTTTTCCAGTCTCCTTAGTATGTGTATAGCTTTGCACATATTTATATTCTTCCAGACTGCAGGGGAAAAGTAGGAAGTTATCAAGGTCCACTGTGGCTGTCCTGTTCTTCAGATTTCTCTGTTGAGTTTCTGGTAGGTTGCTAGTAAATTTTTTGCCCCAACAAGTATTGTGATCATGGTCAGGCTAGGAATGACATTGGCCTTACCTGCTTGTTTGCCACTGGGATTATGGTTGTTTTAATAACCCTCTTGGTCATGGAACTTTCTGAGCTCTGTTCCAAATAAAACTAGTCATCTCAAGCAGTGAGGCTGCTGGGTCTCACAGTCTGACTCACCAAGGTAAACTTCTGCATAATGGAATCTGAGGGTGGGGTGGTATATTAGTCTGTTTTCACACTGTTATAACAAACTTGTCAAGACTGGGTAATTTATAAAGGAAAGAAGTTTAATTGACTCACAGTTCCATATGGCTGGGGAGGCCTCAGGAAACCTACAATCATGGCATAAGGCAAAGGGAAGGCAAGGACCTTTTTCACATGGCAGCAGGAGAAAGAAGAGTGAGTGAATGAGGAACTAGCTAAACACTCATAAAACTATCAGATCTCATGAGAACTCACTCACTATCATGAGAATAGCATGGGGAAAACTGCCTCCATGATCTAATTTCCTCCCACCAGGTTCCTCCCTCAACACCTGGGGATTGCAATTCAAGATGAGATTTGGGTGGGGACACAAAGCCTAACCATATCAGGTGGGAAGAGTGGGAACAGTCCCAAACTAACATGCCACAGACATCCACTGTTCTTACTGAGGTCGAGTAGATTTTCTTAAACACTTTGCAAGTTCTTGTATGCTTGGTCAACTTCCTGAATCTTTAGAAGGTTGTTTATTGATAATTTTGTTCAGTTTTATAATTTCATTTTTAGGGAGAGTTACCATGTTCCCAATCAGCCATTCTGGAAATGCAACTCATTCTCTCTCTTCAGAAATCCTTTTACCATATAGTCTTATAGTTGTTTCTATATTTCAATCAGTTGTTGATCACAGTAGTTTTCTTTGACCATCCTACGTAAAATAGTCTTGCCTTATCTCCTTACTTTGCTTTATTTTACTTCATAACATTTTTCAGTTCTTGACATTTTATATTTTTATGTGTTTGTTTATTGCCTTTCTCCCCTAATGGAATGCAGACTCCCTAATGGAAAGGACACTGTTTTGTTGATCATTGCATCCTTAGTGCCTATGACAATGCTTAGCAAATAGCATGCTCTCCATAAATATTTGAGAAAGAATGAATGAATGTTAGATATGTAGTCTTTTAAGCTTGTGAGAAAATAATCATTCTCATAAACTTTTGTGAGTTGTTATAGCATTTTTGGATGTTGTTACACTTGATTCTGCAATTACATTTCTAGGAATCAACCACCTAAAGAAATAGTGGTCTTGTATGCAAAAATATTTATACTCAAGTGTTCACTGCATCATTGTTTATAATTTAGAAAAAATTGGAAACCAAGCTACGTATACAGTAATTAGGGAGTGTTGAATACTAAGAAAAACAATGAAGGTAATAAAAGGCATTATTTGGATATGTTTTGTAATGGAAAGATATTTCTAATCATTGTAAAAAATGCATATGACAAAACAATGTGAATATAATACATACAATTAGTAAAAAAGAAAATGTGTGTGTATTGGTCTTTTTTTTGTATAGAATTGGATGTGTGGATATCATGAGAACTATATTAAGGAAACAATCACTTTTTACTCTATACGCTTTTTACTTTTAAATTTAGCCTCATGTATTACTTTTATAATTTTATGTTTTCTATTTATAAAATAATATTAATAAAAAATAAAGGCAATATCACACATTCCGTTCATATTAGTTCTAAATATTTTGCATCATCTCCTCATTTGTATTTGTATTCATCTCCTCATAGAGTGTAGTTACTAGAAATCAACATCTTTTGATTTGTCAGAGAGTGAGTAAACACTTACCAAATTGGAACAGCTACATACTGAGTATGTAAGTGCAACAGAAAATTCCAAAGGGTAGAAGAACAGTAAAATACGTGATACTTCCCTCCCAAGTTTCTATAACCAAAAAACAGGGAGAAATCTTATGTTATTATCTTTAGTGAGTGCAAACATGATCATGGAAGGAGCTACTGGCATGAGAGTCAAAGCGAGACTAAAAAAAAAAAAAAAAAAAAAAAGGAAGGAAAATAAGAACAGATAAACCTTTCACCATTTGAGTTCCTTAGACATTTCTACTCCTTTGCCCTCTGCTACACTTTCCCTAGCTTTCGGTTCCTCAGTTCAGCATCTGTGGTTTCTGTATTTGATCTCCTTTGCTTAGCATTCTTGTCTCACTCTGACAGCTTTTACAGAATCGCTGGCACAGCTCTCTATCTAAACTCTTCAGTTACTAAGATTTGACTCTTCTGTCTCTAATGATAAGATGGCCACCAACAGATTTATCAAGCAATCCTTTTCTATTAAAACAGCTATTATTAATGACAACCCTTTGTAAATTTACATACATGGTGATAAAACTCTCACATACATATTGCTCTAATATCATTTAAAATGAGTAATACATTCAAAAAGAGTTCAAAGAACATTTAACTTGGAAGCATAAGGTGATTGTGACTGCTGGGATCAATCTGGGATAAACAGATTCCCTTATGTTGCTATCAGAAAGGTATTTTCAACCACAAATCTGATTGGTTAGTTATGTGAATAATATTGGTGCTCATCCTGAAAATGTGGGTTTTGTGCTGGCTGTGGAAAGACAAGAATGATACTCAGATCTAGAAAGAATGACATCATAATTATCTCCCCTTCAATTCCTTCTCTAACTCTTCCTCCTCCTTCTTTGTTGAGTTTATTTAACATCTTTTATATTCAACAAACTATCTGGTAGTAGGAATTAGATGATAGGAATGCAATGACACATAAAAACTTCCTGATTTCTTAGAGTTTATAATGAAGTAGAAGAGACAGAAAGATAATATAAGGTACCATATAAAATGGATAAAAACTTGCTCACTCATTATAGGGGACAGGAAGGACAGGAGGTTCACTCCAAGCTATTACTCTCTGGGAAGGCTTCATAAAGTGGTAGGAACTTTGAAATAAAGGTAGGACTGAGAAAAACAAAGAGAGGAAGCAGCATTCTAGGCAACTTTAAATTTTTATTTGCTTGTGTCCTCGTAATCTATCTTGTTTCAGAAAGAGTTTAATAGCATAAATTAAAAATGTGACAGAATAATTAAAAAATTCAGACATAAAATAGAACCAATAGTAAAGTTAAAATATATATCAGAACAACTTATGGTTTTTAATGTGAGAACAAAACTGAATGTAAGCAATATAACGTTTTGAGAATTATAGTGTTCATTCATATATGGTATAAATAGGAAGACAAGGAAAAGATGTAGAAGGTTTGAAATACCAAGGTAAATAATTTTGATTTAATTTTGTTGGCAGAAATCCACAAACATAATCATAACATTTTATCTAGAAAGTACTTGGGACTTCTTAGCTGACAAGACTGTGAAAAGTCATTTTGCCCATATTCCTTATTTTTTTATTTAATTTTTTTTGAGACTGAGTATTGCTCTATCACCCAGGCTGGAGTGCAGTGGCACAATCTCAGCTCACTGCAACCTCTGCCTCCCGGGTTCAAGCGATTCTCGTGCCTCAGCCTCCTCAGTAGCTGGGATTACAGGCGCCCTCCGCCATGCCCAGCTAACTTTTGTATTTTTAGTAGAAACGGGGTTTTGCCTTGTTGTCCAGGCTGGTCTCAAACATCTGATCTGAAGTGATCCGCCTGCCTTGGCCTTCCAAAGTGCTGGGATTACAGGCGTGAGCCACCTCGCCCGGCCCATATTCCTTAATTTATATGAGAGTTCTATTCTAAAACTCCCTCCCTGACTGAAAGCAGCAAAAGGTCAGCCAGATCAGCTCAAATGTGAAAACAACCTAGGAAACACACACACACACATACACACACACACACACACACACACACAGACACAGAGAGAGAGAGAGAAAGAGAATGAATGAGTCATGAGTCCCTGGCAGATGATGTAAACTGTAAGCTTCTGGACCCAGCTTAAGTCAGTAAGTGACCCTTTTTGCCTTAAATCAAGTTGGATTGTATTTCCTGTTACTTAAAACCAAGATAACCCTAATTAATATATACTTAAATGAAGAATAAGCAATATTTGGTAATTATAAAGACAGTAGAAAGACAGATGAGGTATTATGTCAAGGTTCTGTGTGTAGGAGATTGAAATGAGGGAGTCTTGCAGTGTATACCTTTGAGGAGGTAAGTAATTTCCATTTTCTATCTGTTGAGTTTGATATGACAGTGATAGCAGCATAGCCAAGTAGAAAAGTCAAGCTAGCTTTTAAAACAACAGGCCAGGAGTTTGGAAGAAAGAACACAGCAGTTAACTGGCAGGCATTTTCTTCATTTTACACAAAAGAAAACTTAGAAACAGGTAAGTTAAGAAACTTTTCCATGGGTTTACACACAGTGAGTACTGAGGATAGTATTTAAATAAGTGCACTCTGATTCTGGAATCTATAGTATTAACCATTTTGCTACATGAGGAGTGTATTTCAGATTCATGCACTTTTCTGACGCTGCCTGGGAACACTGATAACTTGATGAGTTTGTAGATTTAGCTAAGACCCTTGCTTATGTTAGAAAAGTTGGCATGTAAAAGTCCTGTAAAATGTTGGCTGCCTTAGCAAGTGTAAGTACATAATTCTATAATGGCCTTAGAAAAAGATGGTGGTTTCGAGATATAAGTCTAATATACAAGTTCATTTTGTGTAACTAATCACAGCAAACTTGTGCTAAAACTTGTGATTTTGAGAGACTGTAAAACTGGTCATTATTACTGAGTCCAGATCAGATAAATACAGACTACAATGGTTTCTCACACTGACTGCAAAAGGCAATCCTTGGCAATTATGCCATATTAAACTGATAATTAAAAGTTTATGAATAAGAATGGTGACATATAACTTGAAACAATTATGTACTTAATAACTTAAGTACTCCTTCCTTATTCTCTGTCCTCAAAATTAGAACTAAAGATTTGTAGATTGAATGTTCAGGGCAACTGGACAATTTTCTTACAATTTATAGGGAAAATCTGGTCCATGTTTGTTTACATAATCACTCATTACAGATAATATATTTTGGAGAATTACTGCATTTTTCTCTTATTATCTCACTGTCCTCCAGGGTTTTGTTCTCCAGGTTTGGGTTCTTTCCTCTGACATCCCCCTTAATAACATGTCACAGGTATGGAGAGAAAGTATGTAGGGGAGGAGGAGGAAGTTTATCCTTCACTTGCAAGGACGCGTCTACTCATTACTGAAATTGTTATTTGTTTTGTTCTGTTGGTCAAACAAGGTGTTTCACTCCAATTTGTCCTTATTTTAAATGTGAGATTTTGTTAGCTTTGCTAAGGTCTTTTGCTGCACTAATATTCTATGATTCTGAATTTAAAGCCAATATAATTAAAATAAACCTATTGTGTTATCAGTAAAGATCTTCACAGTTACTGGAGAACTAAATGGAAACAAGTTACATTTATTTATATTTAGCATTTTTGGCCTTAAAGCAAAATTCATGTAAGATGCAAAGACAGGCTATGTATGAAAGCTCTATGTTAAGCCAGAAATTGCTAGATGTCTACAATTTGAACTGTATGTGTCAGTAGCAGAATTCTTTTGTTTTTTTGCAAAATGGTTCTATGGTCCCAGATTATACTTTTCTTGTATTAAGAGAATCATTAAGTGACTCTGTGCCTGATACATAGACACTTGCCACTGAAGTTTTCAAATTTTTACTCACTTTAATTCAGCAAATCAAGAATTCAAACATTCTCTTAATATTTACTAAAACTCACAGCCTAGAATTATTTTTGATTTAAAAATTTCAATCAAGAACTCACCGCTAAATCAAAGAATTTCATGAGGACCAATAAAAGCCTCATCTTACCTCCTAAGATTTCAAAATTATTAAAAAGAATAATTTTAAAATTAATATGTTCCCATAGAATTGGTCACTTACTGCTTGTCCATAATTCCTGTATGACGGAGAATTGAAATGAGACAACTCTATTATTGTTAGAGTTACTGCAGTAATTGTAGTTATTATGCAGAAGATGTTTATGATTAAAGTACATATAATCTGAAAAGGAGACAGAAGGTAAATTTATTATATTCAGAATAAACATTTTGGTGTAATAGTTTGCGTTGCTGAAAAAAGTCATCTAGTTAAAACTTTGATGTAGTTTCTGAAGTCTTAGAAGTATTAAGTCTTAAGAAAACATTTTTCTAATTTATATAAAGCCCAGTTAATCTGGAGGAAACATTAACACCATCAGTCCATTAATCATTAATCTTCCATTTAGGCTAAAAAGTATTGTATTTTTCAATGTTATAAGTCATTTGGAAGAAAGCATATAAGATATGATTTGGACAAAAGTGGTTCCACTGTAAGAAAAAAAAGAAAATGGAAAATGACTGCTTGTGGAAATAGGAGTCAGTTGATAAAATTTTAATCCTGGGTCTTCATTACCTATGGAAATCTATCAATATTTTCAGACATCAGTTTTTTATCTGTAAAATTATGAGGGCAGACTAATTTCTAAGGTGTGTTTAGCTCTCAGATTCTAAAGTGTTCTTCCCAGTATCTATCCACCATGCATGGATCTTTAATCTGGACCAATTTCCTACTTCATTACAAGATACAATCTTGTTCCCAAATTGGATAGTTCAGAAAATGAAGTTTTACAGTAGTATAATGTCTATATCTAAAGGCATTAGGTTCTATTAAATTTTTTAACTATAAAGTTTACACAATGTTAAAAGGTAGAACATCAAACAAAATAAAAACTATATATACATTTAGAAACCTATACATAATCATGATTTAACCAATACAGTGCATTTGTCTACATTAAATTATGTTCTTCTAGATTCATTCTTAATTTCTTTATTTATTTTACAGGTAGCGTAGATTCCTTCATTATTTAGACATTATATTTTCATTAAAACTTAATATTTAGCTTTGTGATAAATGATTTCTAGAGATACCACAAACATTTCAACTTACTGCAGATCGAGTTGGATACTTTGTTACTGCTATTATGAAGACTCCTGCAATGATAAACTGGATATAAAAACATATTTATAAATACTCATTGATAGTGCTTACCAATTTAGAATGTACTTTTAACAACTCTCTTCTAAGTCAATTATTTTAAGAATGCTAATAGTAACAAAACACACAGAAGTTTTAGTAGATGGGTCAGGACAAATTTACATCATGTAGTAATACATTGAAAGGTAATAGTAGAGTCAGTCATAACAGAAACATATAGGGGACAGTAGGCAGATTCACATTGTGATAATATGCCAGACAGCCTAAGCAGTCCTGAACTGGGAACCAAGTTTGCTTTTATGTGTATGAGATACATCATATATAAGTCATTTGATTATTGCTTTTAATGTTATCCTTCCTAATGAGATGATGCCACTAATTATGATTACTATGTACATATCCAAATATGGAAAAAGTGGTTCAAGAATTATTCCACATTGTGATGGTACAAAATGTGCAGTCTCTTATGAGATTTGTAGTCATTATTAAGGTAATGGCAGAAATTCATGCCTTTGCCTTTGTTTTTTATTTTTTTATTTTTTTATTTTTATTTATTTATTTATTTATTTATTTTTTTTTTGAGACGGAGTCTGGCTGTGTCGCCCAGGCTGGAGTGCGGTGGCGCGATCTCGGCTCACTGCAAGCTCCGCCTCCCGGGTTCACGCCATTCTCCCGCCTCAGCCTCCGAGTAGCTGGGATTACAGGCGCCCGCCACCTCGCCCGCCTAGTTTTTTGTATTTTTAGTAGAGACGGGGTTTCACCATGTTAGCCAGGATGGTCTCGATCTCCTGACCTCGTGATCCACCCGCCTCGGTCTCCCAAAGTGCTGGGATTACAGGCTTGAGCCACCGCGCCCGGCCTCCTTTGTTTTTTAAAACAGAGGTTCCATTATTTCATGTCAGGAAGTCTATCTACTTCCAAGAAGTATAAAACTATACCATATTGTTTGAAGATGGGTTGCACAATTTCCTCAAAGTATTCCTTGTCTTATTTGTTTTAGTGATAAAACACTAAAGAGGCAAGTCAAAGGCTATTTTTGTCATGCTATACACTATATGTAGGAAGCCCAAACCTGAAGCTTACAAACTTTCCATGGATAATTTTAAATCTATATGTTCAGCACTTCATTCCACAACAAAAGCTGAAATTTCTAAGGAGGTACACAGTGAAGGTAAGAACTAGCTCAGAATTTAAGGTGAAAATATCTTGTGAATTTTGAATTAGAGTGCTCTCTAATGAGATTATCTTTAGATTACCATGTGTTTTACAAAATGCCTTTCAAAGGCATTTTAGGCTTAAGTGAGAAGTTTAGTATTAAATTACATTTAGTTGAAATTTTAGATAAGTTATCCTAGGAGTTAAATATACTATTTTTATAATGTGAGTGGCTAAACACTAAGGAAAATGCATCATTTATTTGGATTTTATTGGAAAATCCACAGTTTTTCTCCTATTTTTTCCCAAGGCAGTGCTTTGACACATGTGACCCAGTACATCATTTATCATTTATCACCTATGAACCAGTGCATTATTTATGAGCCATGCATCCTTTATGAACCATGTATCATTTATCTGGATTTTGTGTGAAAATTTAGTATTTTTCTCCTATTTTTCAAGGCAATCCGTTGACACTTATGAGCTAGTGTATGTATAAAAGTGGGAGACCTCCTAGAGATCATTGTTTCTTCTAGTGATTACTCGCTGTCTCAATGGGCAGCCATATTGTATCCTACAGCCCTCATTCCATCTGTTTGAAGTGTGGGTTAAGTGGTTTCCTTGCTCATTATTGCTATCCAACCATTCTTTCTCCTCCACTTTTCAGTCACATGTCAGATTCTATAACTCACTATTCTTCATGGTTGAAGTAATCTATTGACCCCTTAGCCACTCTTCTTTCGGAATGAATTGACATTTTGACATGCTGATTCTCTCTCCAGCATCACTTAATATTTGGTGATATTTTTACACACACATACACACATATATATATATGTGTATATATACATATCTATCTATCTATCTGATCTTTTGATACGGTTTGGCTCTGTGTCCCCACCCAAATCTTATGTTGTAGCTTCCATAATTCCCATGTGTTGTGGGCGGGACCCAGTGGGAGACAGTTGAATCATGGGAGTAGGTCCTTCCCATGCTGTTCTTGCCATAGTGAATAAGTCTTATGAGATCTGATAGTTTTAAAAATGGCAGTTTCCCTGCACAAGCCCTCTCTTTTCGCCTGCTGCCATCCACATAAGATGTGACTTGCTCCTCCTTGCCTTCTGCTACAATTGTGAGGCCTCCCCAGCCATGTGAAACTGTAAGTCCATTAAGCCTCTTTCTTTTGTAAACTGTCCAGTCTCAGGTATGTCTTTATCAGCAGCGTGAAAATGGACGAATACAGTAAATTGGTACCAGGAGTGGGGTGCTGCTGAAAAGATACCCGAAAATGTGGAAGTGACTTTGGAACTGGGTAACAGGCAGATGTTGGAACAGTTTGGAGGACTTAGAAGAAGACAGGAAAATGTGGGAAAGTTCATAACTCCCTAGAGACTTACCAAATGGCTTTAACCAAAATGCTGATAATGATATGAAAAATGAAATCAAGGCTGAGGCTCAGATGGAAGATGAGGAACTTGTTGGGAATTAGAGCAAAGGTGACTCTTGTTATGTTTTAGCAAAGACACTGGTGGCATTTTTCCCTAGAGATTTGTGGAACTTTGAACCTTGAGAGATGATTTAGGGTATCTGGTAGAAGAAATTTCTAAGCAGCAAAGCATTCAAGAGGTGACTTGGGTGCTGTTAAAGGCATTCAGTTTTATAAGGGAAGCAGAGCATAAAAGTTCAAAAAATTTGCAGCCTGACAATGTGATAGAAAAGAAAAACCCAATTTCTGAGGAGAAATTTAAGCTAGCTGCAGAAATTTGCATAAGTAATGAGGAACTGAGTGTTAATTCTCAAGACAATGGGGAAAATGTCACCAGGGCACGTCGGAGGTCTTCATGGAAGCCCCTCCCATCACATGCCCTGAAGCCTAGGAAGAAAAGGTGGTTTTATGGGCCAAGCCAAGGGCCCCCGTGCTATGTGCAGCCTAGGGACTTGGTGCCCTGCATCCCAGCTGCTTCATCTGTGGCTGAAAGGTGCCAATGTAGAGCTTGGGCCATGGCTTCAGAGGGTGCAAGCCCCAAGCCTGGACAGTTTCCATGTGGTGTTGAGCCTGTGGTACACAGAAGTCAAGAATTGAGGTTTTGGAACCTCTGCCTAGATTTCAGATGATATATGGAACTGCCTAGATGCCCAGGCAGAAGTTTGCTGCAGGGGCAGGGCCCTCATGGAGAACCTCTGCCAGGGCAGTGCAGAAGGGAAATGCAGGGTTGGAGCTGCCACACAGAGTCCCTACTGAGGCACTGCCTAGTAGAGCTGTGAGAAGAAGGTCACCATCCTCCAGACCCCAGAATGGTAGATCCTCTGACAGCTTGCACTGTGTGCCTGGAAAAGCTGCAGACAATGTCAGCCTGTGAAAACAGCCAGAAGCAGGGCTACACCCTGCAAAGCCACAGGGGCAGAGCAGCCCAAGGCCATGGGAGCCCACCTCTTGCATCAGCATAACCTGTATGTGAGACATGGAGTCAAAGGAGATCATTTTTGAACTTTAAGATTTTGACTGCCCCACTGGATTTTAGACTTGGATGGGGCCTATAGCCTTTGTTTCAACCAATTTCTCCCATTTGGAACAGCTGTATTTACTCAAGCCTGTACCCCCGTTGTATCTAGGAAGTAACTAACTTGCTATTGATTTTACAGGCTCATAGGTGGAGGGGACCTTGCCTTGTCTCAGATGAGGCTTTGGACTGTGGACTTTTGAGTTAATGCTGAAATGAGTTAAGGCTCTGGGGGACAGTTGGGAAGGCATGATTGGTTTTGAAATGTGAAGACATGAAATTTAGGAGGGGCCAGGGGCAGAAAAACTCCCATTTTTTAAAACCATTAGATCTTGTGAGACTTATTCACTATCATGAGAACAGCACAGGAATGACTTGCCCCCCTGCCCCCCACCATGATTCAGTTGTCTTCCACCAGGTCCCTCTGGCAACACTTGGGAATTTTGGGAGCTATAAGATGAGATTTGGGTGGGGATGCACAGCCAAACCATATCATCTTTCTAGTACCTTGGGCTTGTGATTCTTGTTCTCTCCTCCAATCCCTGACTCCAAACTATCTTAGTCACTCACTCCCATAATCATTCTCTTGTCTTTGCTGTACCTTTCAAATCTTAATTTCAAATATTCCACCTGATCACCACCTGCTATCTTTCTAACTCATGCCCTCTAGTACTAAAATTTTAACAACCCTTTGACCCCCCCTGGGTCCATAATCTGAGAACTTCAACTCTCTGTTAAATTCTTCTTTCCATCACTAACTTAAATTTCATGGCCAACCATTACAAACACTGCCCTATATCCACTTGCAACTGTTTCACACCTTTCTTGTTTTATTATAGTTGCACAACTAAACAAAAATCCTGATTGTTTTTATCCTATTGCATGCTCGCACTCATGCAGCTGACCATGGCCTGAGAAAGGCATACAACCCATATTCATATCCTGTTCCTAAACCTCAAGTGTGTCCTTAATGCTATATGAAAATAAAACCACCTCTCCATAATCTGTGCACTCTCACTTTTCCTCGATGATTATTTCATATTCTCTCGCCTTTCCTCAAACAACCAAACCACTTCCCCATCCTCGGTCTCAGCTCATAATCTTGCTTAATTCATTGAGCTATTTGAAGTTACTGGGGGAAAAAAAAAACTTCCACAGGCTTCCAACATCCTATCAAAGCAAATTCTCCTTTCGCTCGCTTTCTCTGCCTTTCCCTCCTGTTTTTGTACTTTGAAACCATTTATAATTAGGCTGGATAATTCTTTGTTGTGAGGAGCTGTCCTGTGAATCACAGGCTATTTAGCAGCATCTTTTGCCCCTGCCCACCTGATGTACACCTCCAGCTGTGAAAATCCAAAATATCTCCAGATATTATAAAATGTTCTCAGGGGCAAAATCGCCTCTAGTTGAGAACCACTGCCCTAGATAAACTTTCTATGCTCCTAGCCATTTGTGCATCAAAATCCATCACCTCTTGCCTACATAAATACTTGATTCCAATACCTGCCCCCATTTACTCATCATCAATTTTCTTTCTTTTGGTTCAGTCCTCTCAACAAAGGATATGATGCTATTTCTTTCAACTCACAGAAACTAATAAGCAAACCCTCTCTGGAGCCAAATTTCCCCAGCTATCACCCCATTTCTTTATACCACATTAAAGTCCTTAAAGAAGCTGTTTGCTGTCTGTAATTCCTCTCTTCCTATTTTTTTTCTTAAATCAACTCCAACCAGGTTTTTGCTTTGTAATTCCACTGAAACTACTTGTAAAATTTACTAGTGCACAGATCATACTGACTTCCATATTACTGAATCCAATGGTCAATTCATAGTCCTTATTTTATTTGACAAAACAACAAAATATAATATAGTTGATCCTTCCTCATTTCTTCTAACAATTTCTTCACTTGGCTTCCAGGATGCTATACTCTCTAGGTTTTCCCCTACCTAATGGCTATCTAGAAACCACAGAAAAGTGTCAGTAATGAAAAAATTTAGAAAATGAGTACTGACTCATTGGGTGAGGAGACTGAAGTGAAGACAATAAACATGCAAGTTAATCATGCTAATGGATATTATAGTTGAGATTCTTTGCCTTTCACATATCTGGGGACAAACTGCCCTATGGCTGTCACTGTGTACTCCTGTTTTCATATCTCTTGAAACAGCATTTGTAAATTAAAGGTACTCAATATATATTTGTTGAAAAAAGGAATCTGACTTTGAATAAATTATCAACATGAGATTTAGTTACATAATTCTCCTGAAAACCTTGTTCAGAAACCGTTCCCTACCTTATATTATTGGCATGAATATTATTTATTGTATGATTAAAGCAATATATATGTATTCTACTCACAAAAATTCCCCACAAAGTACATCCTGTTTTGTAAGTTATAGGTTCATATATTCCAAAGGCTCCTTTAATTTGCCCCTTATACAAAACCAATAGGAAGTACCACATGAAAACATGAAAGATGCCAATCATAATCTGGATAGCCTGTGAGAAGAGAATGCTGTTAGTACCTAAATAATGTAATTTAAAACACAATTCCAATACGTGTTAACTATAAGAAGCATTTAACACCTTTACAAATACAAAAGTAAAACAGCAATGCACTTAATAATGTATTTCCTGGATTGGTTATCCCAGAAAAAAGGATCAATCAGGAAGAACTGAGATATACCAAATAGGAATCAGTCATACTGAAAACAACAGGCTGTTCAATAATAGTAGCTCTGGTCAATTCTCCTGTAAGTTAACAGTCTGATTCTATCACTGGCTAGTCTCCCTACCTATCAAGTAATGGTATGAGAGAATATTGGGATTACTTCAGAGAAAATGTGGTTACTAATCTACTATAATGCAGGAAGCCATAAATCCAACATTTTCTTGTACATTAGTAATTTATTAAAGATGAATCACTTTTTGACTTTTATAAAGGTTTGATTTATCTTTTCCTTCAAGGAGTACTTGGTATGATTTTTTTTCACAAGTATGCTGGAGTGAGGCATAATCCAACACAACAATACAGAAAATATCCAGAATGGACTTGCTTGAACTCCGTTTTCCCATTGGAGAGGGGAAGGAGTTTGAATAGGGGAGAATTATTACTCAACTCTAATTTGTAAGAAGATAATTATAAGCCCAGCAAGTTTATTTCTGGATTTATATGTGAACTGATATTTCATATATTTAATCACATTTTTTACTACTGTTTAAAAATGACAGAGGACACATAAATTTTATTTTCATGTAAACTTTAACAGAAAACTATTCAATGTTTTAAGAGTTCCAGCTCTTTGCAAAGCAGGCAGTCTATGAAATATGTAAATGCAATTGGCTAACTTTAAAAAATACATTTTGGAGAACTTTTTTTTTAAAGGAAAGGTCTCTTTTTTGGTAATGATCATGCATTTTTATAGATTTAGAATTTAAGGTTTCCCCTTGCATCTAATTTGCAAGAATGGTAATATTTCCAGAAATTCTTTGGATTTGCTTGGAGAAATATCCCCCACTAGGCTGCAAAATCTCACAGGGTCTGGAGTTTGTTTTTCTTATTGCTTTATCACCAGCCTCTAATATGGTGAACAGAATAGAGAAGGCATCCAGCAAATACCTCTTATATAAGCATACTGGTGTCAAGAATAATGATTCCATGTGGCTTTCCTAACTGTTAAAAAAGTAAGTGGGCTTGAAAAATACTCTCTTTTTAAATGATTGACTATTGTTTTATATAAGACTATGAAATATCTAATTAGCCAAAGCTTGTTAAGAACTGCCAGTGTGTGGAGAAGGACAAGATCGGTTTTCTTATTTAAAAATGATTCTTAATCTAGAGCCAATATGAGTTCCAGGAGGTCAGACCCGCCTACCCCCTGCACCCAGAAAAAAAATGCAAAGGATTACGACATGTACATAATTCTGGGAAGAAGATTTAGAACTTTCATTCCATGCCAAAATGGTCTGTGACCCCAAAGAGGTTAAGAACCTCTGCTGCACAGTCGAATAGGTGACTTAGATAATTGATCCATGCAACGTTCAAATTCAGAAGAAGAGTTCACATGAGTGGAAAAGTTTTCTCCCCTTTGGATGTGAAAAAGCATGATGCTCATAATTCCTTGATGTTTATTAAGAAAGCTAAACTGTAACTTCACATGTTTATAACTTAATAGAAGAGACAAATTTATAATCATCCTACTGCATAGATGTAAGTACAGTATTCTCTTTTTTCCTTTTAAACCTTACTTAGATTTCTCTGTTATCCTGTGTGTACTGGTTTAGTCTGTATACTTACATCTCAGCACATGAAAGAACATGAGATCAGTCAAAATTTGTAGAAGACAATCAACATTTGAAAAACATAAACTTTTACCCTTTTGATTTAACCAAGTCTGTCCCTCTTCAGATCCAATATATCCTTTAAAAAAATGAAATAGTGCATGATCTTAAATTTAGTTAGTCAAAGTGAAATCTTACCCCTAAAACGAGAGAATTTGCTGTAGAGATTTTTGAATGAACACATGCCATACTGCCAGCATTTCCTCTAGATGGTTTTCTCTCTAACCTTTGGTGATATCTTTAGCAAACTTCTACAAAACAATACAAGGCACATATACATGATTTTCTTAGAAGAAAATACATGAGTTTGATCCTTTCCTTATTGTTCAGCCACCGCCTCCCCAAATTCAGAAGCAATAGCCTTCTTCTTTCTAGGCCTTAATATCAGAGGCATCAACTTTCATCCACCTGTTCTGAATAACAGCTTTCATAACTGAAAAGTCTCTCTCTGTGACTAAAACATATCGGCATTTTACAGATATCATCTCTGAGTAGTAAATAGTGCCTACTGTTTACAGAGTAAACAGTAACAGAAATGATAAGGTATGAAGGATATCTAGGGAATAGTATTAGAGAATTTTCAGTAAAACTTTCAACAATTTATTTGCAATTCGTAATCAATTCAATGCAATCCGTAGTGCCATGTTTGCATTTTCAAAACCAAATTCTTGTAATCATCAAATTCATCAAAAAGTGGGCTTGTGATTATTTTTTCTGACACATACCTGCTACTCAGTTATTTCTATATGAAAAGAATCTTTTATTCTATCAGACAACTTACTGAAATTGCTCCCACAATGTTAATGTTAATGCATTTCCTGGTCTTTTTTTTCCCTGTTATTCCTGCTTTTCTCTCTGTTGTTCAGATCATTTCCACATTTATATTAAGATAAAACCTGGCTATTAATTATATCCCCTTGTGGATTGTATTTATTTTTAGATCTGGAATTCTACATCTGCTAGTATGTCATGCTTACATAGGTCAATAGCTTGAGTCATGCCACCTCACTAACATGATCCTAAAATTTGAGACTTGATCTTTTCAGAAAGGAGGGAATTTGACCAACTGACCTCTCATTCTCTGTACTTGTAAAATCTCATGACTTAATTATTTTAGTAGGTCTTTGTTTTCTAAAATTGTTTTCTCAATGTCTCTTAATGCTATAAAGTGTAGAGACAGAAAAAACTAGTTAAGAACACAAGTTAGTAATAGCAACAGAGAGAAAACAATATGTTACTAACTGAAGTAAGCTTTATACATTCAAACACAATCTTTGAGAAATAAAGAAAGTGTTTAGAAGCATAGACAATCAAAATCAATCACTCTGCTATGATTAAATAAAAAACCATAAAATTACAGAACCCATATAGAATAATAAGGAACAGCATATCTACATTGCTATTATTTGTCACTTTACAGAAAACAAGAAAATAAAAATAGGCCCTTTTATGTATACAATTGGCCCTCTGTTTCATCTGATTCAACCAATAGTGGATCAAAAATATTCAAAAAACATGCCAGTAAAAATACAAATGCAACCGTCAATGTGGTGTAACAACTATTTACATAGCATTTGCACTGTATTAGATATTATAAGTAATCTAGAGATGATTTAAAGTATAGGCGATTTGCATGTTACATGCAAATCCTACTCCCCTTTGTATTAGGGACTCGAGCACCCTTTGATGTTGGTATCCACCCAGCAGATACGGAGGGATGACTGTATAGAAAATTCTTTTCACTTTCGTAGTTAACAGTGGAAGCACCATGAAGTGACTTGGGGAGCAGAATATCTGGCATCTCTGTAATCTTCATCAGACCCCTACCCAAACCACCCTAGGTTTGGTATTCCTAAAAAATGCCAATCAGAAAAAGAAAGTGGGGGTGTTCAAAATTCTCAGGTTAATTGATGGAAGGAAGAAACTAAGAAATACTACAACATATTCCTGCAATAACTGATGGTTGCAGTTCTTTTCTTTTTTTAAAATCATCCTGTGTTTGAGTACTTTAAACCCAGTTAAGCATCCCATTATTTGTAAAAACAAATGAATAAAAGGAATCATTTATTTGTTTTTATTTTTTGGTGATCCTGTCAATCCAAAAGCAGCTGAGGAATGAGTACCCTAACCCTTACTCCCAACCCCATTTTTATCCCCTCAACTTGCTTTATATAGAAATTCTGAAATAGTCGCAGAAAGCTCTTATCTAGAAAACGCTTCTCTATCTTTAGCATCTTTAGCAGGGATGCAACCCCTTGGCGCCTTCAGAATTAAGTCCGAATTCTTTAGCAGGGCACGTAAAGCCCTTCATGAACAGCTCCCCGCTCGGCTTCTTAACCTCATCCTGACCACTTCTCTGTTTCCACACGAACAGCTCCCGCAGTAACCTTGTTTGGGAAGCCTACTCTGTCTCACAAGCCTGTTAGATGCCCCACACCTTGTTCCCCCAACATTCCGAGCATAATTCCTACCACTGTGTGTTCTTTCGATTTTCAGGACTGGCTCCTAAGTCAGTGGGAGCTCCCAGAAGTCAAGGAATTCATTTCTGTATGACCAAGGACAGTCCTGGGCTAGAACCCAGAGACTCAATACTGGATCAAATCAAGAATGGGGCGCGGGGTAGGGGGCGGGGTGCGTTAAGATCCAGACTGATGAGGGAGGGAGGGAGATGATAAGAGAACAGGGAAGCTGTGGGGAGAGGAGCACCGTAATCAGCCTCCGTGTCCCTTTATGGCTTTTGACACGAAATCACTCCAGCAAAGCATCACTACCCTGCATTTTACTTATTCAAGGTTCCGAGAAGTTTCGGGGGGCGCTCGTCCAGGACCCAGACCAGGTTCTCACGCCAGCGCCCGGGCCGAGATGAAGAGGAAGATCCTGGTTGGCAACGCGCTCAGCGTCAGGTCCCCAGATCTCGCTGAGCTACCATCACAGGGATAGCCTGGAACCCAGCACCCAGCCGACCCTCAGGCTCCTCAGAGAGTGAAGGTCTCCAATGGCAACGGTGTGCTCCTTCTGCGCCTGCGCTCCCACTCGGGAACGGCAGGGGCGGAGGGAGTGCGTGTGCGCAGACTCACTAGGCCCCTGGCAGCCACGTGGTCAGACAACCGGTCAACTACATTTTGGTGTCTCTAGGAATGGTTTCTGCAAACCTGTGTTCTGAGATTGCCCATATTGGTGCGTTTCTTATACACACACCTGCTGCACAGTGACCAGGATCACCGGGGAAAAGTCTGCCCTTCACCTTTTCTGTCTTCAAAGAAAAATGTTGACCACAAGTGCACTTTGAAGGGTGCACTTTCGAGTGAAGTGACTGAATCAATGGCTCACTTTTTTTTTCTTTAAACATAAATAACCGAAGAAGGAAATTAGTGACGAGAGTAATACTTAACAAGACACCAGAAGGACTTTTTGATCCAGTTGCTGAGGTGGGTTTACCTTTTGGGTGATACATGGTGCCAGTTTTCTGTCTGAGGTGTAGACAGTAGTTAAAACAGTGTTTATGAAGAGGTCCTTTAGATGAGGAGTACAGACCATCCTCTTAGGCAGCTATCATGACTTACTGAGGCATTTACAGTACCTGGAGAACAGTTACTCAATACCATTTCTCATTTATTCATGGAAGATTTAAATTGACATTGTGGAAAAGTTAAAATTCCAGCTTGTACTGTAAATTTTTAGTCAATGATAGCCAGTGAGTAAAACATGCAGAAAACAAGACAGATTTTTCTTTCATAAGGAAATTTTCTGTGCTTCCAACATCTTTATTTGCAAAAGCTAAATCATGAGTGTGTCTAAAATCCATCAAAATCTTTTATTGCCTGAAAAATCAACTGTAAGCTGAGAAACTTTATTTTTAGTCTCACAGCTAGCTTCCTTACATTGAGACTCCAAAGTCCCCTCAAATCAAAGAAAAAAAAAACCAGGCTCTTTTAAAGTCTTTACATTTTGTATTGGTCAGTATGTCGTTGAAGGTAATAGTTTTATTCTTAAGTAATATACCACTTGATTTTCTGGCATTATTATTTTTTTGTGAGTTTCTTCTCTATGAGCAGAGAGGTCTCTGATAATATTAAGCATTCTCTTTGCTGTAGAAAGAGGAACTGTGTCTTCAAGCCCAGGGTTATGGATTTTTTAGAATCCATAGTAGAAAGAGCCAGTTCTGATGAGATGGACCCCCGTTGTAACTTGCTGCCGTTATTTGTGAGAGAAGTGATATATTTCTTCATTTAAGATTTGGCCAATAGTCTCTGGAAATTATCATGGATTTGATCAGTGTTTTGGACTGGGAACAAAATGTGCATTCAGTGTAAACATAGGCAAAAATAGAAGAATGAGCCAAACTATGAGACAGGCATGGTTCCTCGGCACATCTTATTTTTTCTGCTACTATCACAGATCAGTAAAAGCAGCATTGATCTTCTCAGTACCTATAAACTGGATTTGGAAATTCAGAATTCACTTTAATTTTTTATCTTTTGGTTGTTAAAAACTGTATTCTTCAGCAATGAAGAGGCAATCAATCAGTCATGGTTTGACATCCAATATGACTTTTATTTCTCCATGTGTATCACGTGTTAATTTCTCTTGAATTGGTTCCCAATATACAAAAGACATTAGTGAAAATGTGCTGGAACCACAATACCTATATAATGTTAAAACCATTGTTGGGGATTATTACAAGGACCCTGTTGGCTGTGAGCCCTGATAAAATAACTTGTCCAGATTTCTTTGAGGAATTTTATTTATTTATACTCTAGAGAAAACATCTGTTTTCTCTAGAGTAAACACTAGGGTGTTCTAGTCAAGTAAAATGGAAATCTATGCAAACTGAGGAAACTAAACAATTGAATTCATTGTGGAAATGCAATATCCATACATATGTATATTTATGTAAAGTGTAATCTATATGTGTATAGATATATATATATGCAGGTACACATACATGTATATAGTAGATTTCGGTTTTCATATGTTTACTATATCACTTATATAATATTCTTTAGTAAAATGCTAATTAATGGCTTAAACTTATCTTGCTTTTTTTTCCTTGCATTTACTATGTTGAGGCAATATGTTAAGTGCCTTATATTGCTTATTTTAATTAAACTTCACCACATGCCAATGATGTACATACCATTGTTATGTTCATTTTAACAGATGAGTGTGCTAAGGTTTGGCAAAGTAAAGAGTCGCACAGCTTATAAATGTTCGAGTTGAGATTCTAACTCCAGCAGTGTAAGTCTAGCTCCAGAATTTGTAGCCCATCCTCCTACCCACTTTTCTTGCTCTAAGCCTCCTTCAGAAAGAGCTCTGTGTTGTAACTGTCATGGAACTGCATAAAGAATATTGTTGAAGAAATCATAAGGGCTAAGGATAGTTTCCAGCTCCAGTTCTGGCTGTGTGTACTCCCCTCCTCTACTCTTTGAATTCATTTTTCATCTGTAAAATTAGGGTCTTGAAGTACACATTGTAGCATTGTATGAATACATGAAATGACATTTGGCCTAAAAGTCCATACCATATCCTTAAGCGTTGCCAAATACTTGGGAGAGTAGGAGGAGTTGTGAAATATAAAGTGAAATTGTGCATGAGACTTAAGCAAAATAGAGACCCCTGGAATGTGTGTGTGGAGAAAGAGATTGAATGAAGCCAGTTGAGCACTGCTAGTAGTGCTAGAATTTAGTAACAGTGATTTGTTTTTAAGAGTGAAACCAGGGAACTGAGGGAGAGGAGGAGAGCTCGGCGAAAAGAGAGAACAGTTACAAATTATAAATTTGCTTGGTTTGTTTTAAATGCAAAATGAAGAGAAAAAGGCAGAAATCAGCAAGTTTTAGGAAAACCCTGATATCCAAGGCCTCTCCAGCCTGTGGGAATTAGCAGGACATATTAGCCTTATGGCCCAGTTGGCCTGGTTTCCACCCTCATGCGTTGAAGAATGACCCCAGTTATTTGCAAATCCCCATTTCCAGAACATTTCTGGGAGTCCCCAGAATTTTCACATTTATTCTCCAACAGGCCTTGGCTGAGCTGTTGCTGAGTGCATGGGACAGCCACTTTCCAGATACATTGTAGTCTTCTCCCGCCTTGCTGCAGCTTCTCTGGGAGAAGGCTGCCTTACCACAGGTGCTGTCTCCCAGGGCTCCCAAAGCACCAGAGCCCTGGAGGTATTCAAACAGCCTAGTAAGTTCTTCAGTCTTCCTTACAGAGGAGGAGCCTGGGTATAGTCCATGCACAAATGTGGAGCACAGCCCTTTCTCCATGGGGATTAGACCTGGTCACCTAGGTGAGGCGGGCAACTGGACTCTGATCTTTCAGTTCGAGCATCAGATACCTGCACTCAAAATTTCGGTGGCATATTTTCCTTGATGCAAATCACCACTGCAAATAGATGCCTAGGGACTCTGCACCCCACCCCCAGTTGTCCAAACTCAGGGTAGGTTTAGCCAGCATGTGCTCTGTGGGAAAAGGGGACAATTGTGATGGATTATTAGAGGGTTGTGACAAATGCAAACATGTTCTGGGAAAGAGAGCTTTCAGAAATGTTGTTTGGGCCCGGCATGAATCAATGACACATGTTTATCTAAGATACATTTATAGATTCTTGAAAGATCATTCTTGAGTCCATGTGTTTCATGATGAATAATCGACCTTCTCTAAAGCCTTAGAATCTAGAATTAGAAGACATCCTAGAGCCCTAGAGATCTAATAATGATCTGTGCTCTTCTGAGGAAGGAAGAGACTAAATATAGAAAGTACTTGAGATGTGTGTGTAATGTGTATGTGTGTGTGTAGCTTAAGTTATATTTCATAGGCAAAGTCTTTGTATGCAAATCCAGCATTAATTGTGCATGAAGAAAGCATGTGTTCACTGACATGTAGATAAATCTTACTCCATTTCATTTTATATTACCCTACATGAAAAAAATATGTAAAGCCTAAATTTTATGGAATAGCAAAGTTTTCATCACCAAGTTGTAGTGTAATACTTCTTTTTAAGCAAATGAATGAAAAAAATGAACATTTAAAAAAGATTTTCCAGAATGAAAATGCCATAAGGGCTTTAAATAATACCACAGCAGGCACGTGACCTCTATGTTGCAATATAATATTTCTATTCCAGTCACATTCTAGGGTCTCAGATCACAGGCCCAGCTGGAGAAATTTGTTTGTAGTATAAATTTGCTAAAACCCCCTCAAACATACCCTCGGTATAGCTTGGTAATCCTCTGTTTCTCTGATCAGTTTATTCTCCATTTCCATGACTTTTCCCACACTGAAAAAACATGTACATAAGTGGAGCCACGCAGTTCAAACTCATGTTGTTTAAGTGTCAACTATATTTTTATACTACTAAATCTCCTCTCTCTTATCAGCGAATAAGGCAATTTCTTCCACATTTATTACAAGCTTTCTGTAGAGAAACATTTCTGTTTGTTTTGGCATTACAAACGTCTGATTCTATCCAAGACCATAAGAATAGTGAGAATAATGGTTAGGGCAACTGTGCGGACCTGGGAGTCATGCTGCCCGGATTCAAATCATTCTTCACCATTTGCTAGCTACATATCTTAGGACAAGATTTTTAACCTGTCTGCCAAAGTTTTTTCATCTGAATAGGATCCTAATAGTAGTATCTGCCTCACAGGTGGTTGTTGTGAGCATTGAAACAGTGCTTGGAATGTGAGTGGTACAAAGAATGGGCTAAATATATGCTGTTATTATTACTATTATTAAAGCAAATTGAAAAATAGAATATATTTGATAGAAATTTAAAAAATGAACTTTGCTGGAAATGCTTCTGTTCCCTAAAGTAAGTTACTTTTATATTTGCTTATTTTACATGTATAGATATGCAATATACCATCCTCCCCACATTTTGGGGGCACCTTTTATTTTCCAGACCCTCAGACCGTGAAGTCTATGTCTTCACTTTTGCTGAGCTGTTGAGCTTCATGGTGAAGGACACAGCATTTCTAATCACCCAAGTTTCTGAATAGCTGGGACCCAGGCAGGTCAAGCACGTTGAAATTATGTGACTCTCACCTGACATAATATACCTGCTTTCCCAGATGCAAAAATTCTATTCTTCTCATCTGCCTCTTCCCTGATTTTGATTTATCTGCCTAGTCTTTTTGTATTTATTTGTCTCCTCTTCTTTAATAATATTAAGATTTCAAAAAGGAACAATATTTTGCTATTTTCAAACCATATTTATATAACATTATCTTATTTTATTTTCACAACAGCTCCTGGAGAAAAGGCAGATTTCTCCATTTATGATCAATCTGTCTTTTTTCTTTATTATTGCTTTTATTATTACTATTATTCCATCCTTATCCAGTTTAGATTCCACAGTCTATCATTTAAATAGTATTTTTTACAATGTCCTAAGCTTTCTTGCCCTTCTGCTATTTGCCATCTCCTCTAGCAAAACCTTAACCCTGGACAAAATCAAATAGAGAGTTTCCTGGATCCATAGTTTGCGTGGATCTAGCAGCAGGACCTTGCAGGAGCAGTTTGTTCATACTCTGAATTTGTTACCACATCCTCAGGTGTGCCCTCCATACAGCTTGGCAATCCTAGTTCTCTGACCACTTTGTTCTCCAGTTCCATGACTTTTCCCATGTTACCATTCTGCTCAGTATTCTGACTCTACCTATGCCCCTACCTTGGGCATGACGTCACTACTGCTTTGACAGGGATGACATGAGCCATCACATCAGATCCTCACTGCCACTATTGCAAATCTGTGGATATCTGTGATAATGATACCTTTCTATTTTGTAGAGAAACTGCCCTTCTTCATGACTTAGGTGGTGTTATCCATCCGTGCTTTTGATTTCTTGAAACTTACACTGTCTTTCATCCCTTCCTTCTTACCTTGATTGTTCTCATTGGCTTATAAATGTGCCCACAATTCAAAAACAAAAAGCCAAACTCAAATGAAAACCCCTCAATGCAGCAACCCTGTCCTACTGTTGTCCCATTACAGGTTAGTTTAATGTACATGAAAATACTCTGTAAATAGCAAAATTTTGTAGATATTCAGGAGGCAAGATGTTTGATGATATTAGTGTATAGAATAATGTGACCTCCAACAAGGGCAATTGGACATTTGCTTTCTGAACAAAAAGACGAGGAGGAGATGAGTTAGGGAACTCCAGTGACTGGACACCTAGAAAAATCATCATCAAAGAAGATTTATCAATCTTCTTGGAGTATAGGTCAGATCTACTGCTCTACAACCAATATCAAATCAAAATCAATTTTTTAAACACACTGAAAAAGGCTTTTGTTTCGAATGACATTTTATTAAGGAAAAAGTAATATGAACAGAAACATTTCTAACTTTAAGAGAGTGCGGAATCATTTTTCAGTCCTCCAATCCTTCACCTTTGCCAGCATGTAGTAGTGGTAATGTAGGAAGAGACAGTGAAGGGAGATAAAGCCGTCATTAGCGACCAACCTGAAAACAAATCTCAAACACAGTTTTTAAAGACTAGAAATCATTGTGGGCAATAAAAGACATCTTCTTAAGAACTTTTTGCAAGCAATTTTTCTCCATGGGATTAGACTGATCCCCCTTTTTCTTTTAATGTCTAGGGACATTAGTTAGAGTAGTTGTTGCATTTGGGAGGCACTGAAGAAGACGCTGGTGTCACAGGGTTGTTTTCATACATATTTGGAATAACCAGGACAGGCTGGAAAGAATGAATAAAAACCAGCAATAAGGTTACTACAATCCTATGCAATTTCTCCTGGTACCATCAGAGTGAAGGACAAAGAGCATTCTGGTAAGCCCATAGTAGGATTTAGCAGACACAAGTCTGTATTTCTCCAGGGCATCTTCAGATTATTTTACAAAGAAGAGACACAACTCACCATGTTGGTCGTGGTGTCTGCTTGGTTGGCAAAATAAGCTGTGACACAAGCTGTGCAGACCTCCAAGAGGGAGAAGATCATCAGCATGGCTGAAATGCCTTGTCTAGAATACTGAAATCATAAATAGATAGTGAAATTTTGGCTAATCAGGAGGGCCTCACATGGGCTTCAAAAATTATTGACTCATCAAATGTGCTATTGCTTATACTCAACTTGCTCCATGCTTATTCTTCCAGTATCATCGAATGCTTGTTTCAGAGGAGTGTGAAGTTATTTTGAATTTTCTTTAAAATACCAGAAGTCTTTCCTTTTGGTAAGTAGGCTATTTTGTTTAGAAATATTAGAAAGAAGGTAGTTTTTTTTTCCTTTGTGATGGCCTCATTGCTTTTTTTATAAAAATGTTAAAAAAGTCAAGCAATATAGAAACCAATGGATCGTTCAAAATGCCACTGCTTAGAAATAACCAAAACTAATGTTTGATGACTGTTATCCTAGCGCTCTGTGTACAGGGAAAAGGCAGAAGAATGAATATGTGGAAAGATGCCATGAGAGAGGAAAAAACAGAGACCAAGAGAGAGGAGCATCATTCTGTAAGAATGGAATCATGTTATTTCGATTTTAAGTAAAAGTGTTAAGCTCACTTGAACTCTATACAGGCCTTCTACTTGATCAGATACAGTGTAGGTGAATTTTCCTTCATTCACACTTCTGTTTATTTGGGTCCCATTTGTCTTCCTTGCTTCCATTACAACGTGAGCCCTAGCTGTTGTTTCATATCCATGTTTCTAAATGTAAACATATAGCTGTTGCAGGGAGAGATATAGCTTAGCTGGCCCTGAGCACAGTTCTTGCTAGTGAACATGGGCTTTGCTTTTTCTGTCTTCTGAGAGCCTGCTAAATGCTTAGTATGGAGGCCTGCTCCTTGACTGGAGGTTTATTCCTGTGCATTTCTGCTCATTTCCTGCTGGTAGCAGGGTACCATGCAGGGTATGGGAAGGTGTTGCCCTTTCTTCTGTCTCCTGACGTCCTGGGTACTACCCATCATCTTGTACCATACAGGATTTGCTTTATCCTTTCGCAGAATTGACTGCTCTCCACCCCAGCCTTCTCAGCTACAGACTCAAGAGTGTTAGTGAGACTTCTCAGTAATTTTTTTGGCTTCCCTTCTTTCCTTAGTTTTGTTTCTAGGGAAACAAGAGTGAGGTCTAAAAGCTGTGCTTTTTTTCAGCTACTTTGAGTAGCATCAGAATGATTCTTTTCTCTACTTGGATGCCAGTTTGAAAGCTGTTTTTTTGAATACTTTTTGTTCTTTTGTTTGGTATTTTGGAGGATGAATTTTGTTCCTGCTTCACTCTGCCTTATTTACCAAGAAGCTTTCTCATCTTTTTTTGCCTCCTGATATGGTTTGGCTCTGTGTCCCCACCCAAATCTCATCTTGTAGCTCCCATAATTCCCACTTGTTGTGGGAGGAACCTGCTGGGAGATGATTGAATTATGAGGGCGGGTCTTTCCCATGCTATTCTTGTGATAGTGAATGGGTCTCATGAGATCCGATGGTTTTAAAAAACAGGGATTTCCCTGCACAAGCTCTATTTTTTTTTGCCTGCCCCCATCCATATAAGACATGATTTGCTCCTCCTTGCCTTCTGCCATGATTGTGAGGCCTCCCCAGCCATATGGAACTCTAAGCTCATTAAACCCCTTTTTCTTCCCAGTCTTTGGTGTTTCTTTATCAGCAGTGTGAAAACAACCGAATACACCTTCTTATATAAGCTTTTCCTTATGCTGCAAACAGTGTTGTCCTTTGCAAGCACAAAAGTGATCATTCAAATTCCCGGCCTAAAACTCTTCTACGTTTTTAACAAAGAAGGATTGTCTCAGAACTTGGTGGAAAAGGAGTGTGCCAGCAATTCCAACTATTGACACTTCAAAGAACATACTCTAGGGGACAGGCATCTGATGGGAGTGCTTAGACAACTTTCAGATTATACCAATGGTTGGAGTCAGGATTTCAGAACCCTTTAGTTGAGAAGCAGATGGCTTCATAAGCCTGCCACTCTGAGATCGAGTGGAACAGAATTACTTACACAGTACTGAGTGAACTGATAAGGGAAATGTTATTGTGTTTATTTGTTCAAAATATTGTGATATTGTCTTAATGTTATTATGTTCTAGATATATAAGGAAGTCATTCTGTGTCTTTCTTAAGATATATATATCCCACAGTAATTTAATAAACTCTGCTTTTTGTAAACTGAAAAGCAAAAGCAAAACCAACCCCAACATAAAATAAAACAAAACATATAAAACTACTCTTCTGTGGTTTTCCATTGCTCACAGAATGAAAACCAAACTTCTTAACGTGGCCATTGAGGTAGAATGAAAGCTTCCAGTCCAACCTCATTTTATACCATGTTCCTCCATTACTTATAGATGGTAAGCATTCCTGCCCTTGGGCCACCCATTTCCTCCTAAGGTCGGAGTCCATGCTTGGCTGTATAAGGCTAATGAATGTGTGATTCTGTTTTGAGCACATTCAGAGGCATGTGCTTCATTTTGCAATTGCTTCATTCCTTGGGTTTCTCTGTAAAAATCGGATGTTCTTATCCCTGTCATTTACCTCTCACTTCATACTTTACTCTGAAGTTTAACAAAAAACACTCAATAGCTTGACTACCTTATTTATATAGAATTTCAGATGTTGGGAAAATAATTTTTGGACAATTTTAGAAACCCTTCCCCATTGTTCATTTGATTGACAGTGAGATGGGCCAATAAAGGATGTCCTTTAAGCCTCCGTCTATCTGTAGAGGTAACCCTCTCACTTTATTCTATAGTCCTAGAGATCATATGACTAGGGGTGGGGCTAGAATAGAAAAAAAAATTTCCATTAGAGCTGGTGTACGGTATTAAGAGATAAAACATAGACCCACTTTACAGGACTGAAAAGAGAGCAAGCACATGGTGGATTATGGGATACTTACGACCCGTTGGTAAGGCCCATGGATGCACATATCCACCACCAGCAGAATCACTCCAATGAAGGCAAAGATAGAACTAACAATGTTCATTCCCAGGCTGCCTTTCACCTAGTGGAGATGGCAGGCAAAAATCAATTATATACAGGATCACTGAAGTTAAATGAAATAAGAATCAATCAAATTTCATGGTTCTTAATTTTTGAACTTTCAAAACAAATTTTCAAGTTGAAATTATTCTATTTTCTGCCCTTCTGGGTAATTACCATAAACATTATTCTATATGCAGCCTAGAGGTAGGGTACTTCTAAAAAGCTGTAGAAAAATGTAAATCATATAAAGCAGGCACTCATCTATTGTTTTTACTAAAAGCCTCATGCACAATAACAACTATATTTTCTTTATAAAAAATGAAAAAACTTCTAATGAGCATTTTTCTGTGGCAGACACTGTGTTAAATTATTTAAATTATCTCACTTAACTCTTACAGCTTTTGTATGAGGTGGTATGATAGCATCTGATTTTTATAGATGGCAAAGTATTTAGACACAACATGTTTGCTGAAAAATTTAGGAATTAATGAAAACCCTAAGTCTCTCTAGGGACTAAATATGCACCCCCAAATTTAGAAGGAGAAACTCTTCAAGCTTTTGTGGGCAGAGGTGTGTGGGTGACTACAAATCTTTCCCCAGTTTCTACAATAGGATTTTAACATGCAGAAGAATAATTGTGAAAGCAGATCTGCTGCTGACTTGCTAAGGGTAGCGTAGTTGAGTTCTTTAGAATGTGCTTGTACTGCAGCATGCCTTAGAGCCTCCTGATGGTCTCTGAAAGCTCTTGGAAAAATTGTCTTAGGTAAGTGTCAGTGGCTGTCTCCTCTAAGAGGATGGAATCTATGCTTGGACAATCTCAATTAGAGGGAAGGATCCTTAAAGGATGCAGAGAAAGGGTGCTTTATTTTGTTTTTGGACTACGACAGGAGTGGTTAATCAGAATTAGGCTTATTTTATTTTGATTTAATTATTTTATTCTTGTTTTGTCTGGAAGAGCATGAACTACACAATCCTGTGTTCCTCTTTCCCCATTCTTCCCTCTTGTGCTGGATTACATATAATTTTGACACCACCTCTGCTCTAGTTGACTCTAATTCTTGGTAAATAACTTTCTTTTTCCTGGTTCAATAGTAGACCGGGAAATTGCAATAGGTGGGGCGCTGTGACCAACAGAACTCAAGGTCCCAACTTACTGATCATTTTTATAAACTCTTCTTACGGAACAGGCTAGATTCATTTAATGGCAATTTAAAGAATTGTAAAACACACACCCAATCTTGAGTAAGAGTAGGAAAGACGCAAAAATATGAAAATAAAAATACAAGACAGAGCTGAGAAGTGGCAAATTAACAGTAGAGACTTGGTAACTGATGTGGCTAGTAGGTATTTCCTGGCTCCTGGATTCTCCTTTGGACTTCCCATAATAGAGTGTGACCTCACTGAACCAGGGAGCTTTCAGGTTAAAGCAACCCTGATCTTTACTACTTCTCACCCTTGTCAGTTCAAGAGTCAGGATGTGGAACTCTGCCATTTCTTAGTGGCAGGCTGTGTGGACCACTCTCCTACCCCGGCGCTCAGACCATGAGGCAACCAATAGATTTTTTTTGGGAAAGGTGCTCTCTTTTGCATTTCCCAAATCCAGCTTTTCAATTTTCCTCCCCAATATGTTAAGCTAATCTTTAAAGGGGTTCAAAAAGCAGAAACAGTCTAACTTACCAGACAAGGGGAAAGCTCCTTGGATGCTGACACAGAGAGAGAGCCTGAGATAATGAACTGTGGAAATGGACAAATTTAGTTGAGAAATGGGTTAACTGGTTGTGCTTGGGAGTTTCTCTTTATACAAAAGGTTGGTCTATTTACATTCATCTAGCTTCCTTCTCAAAATTTTCTCTTGCACTTCTAAATTTTCTGGGTAACTCTCAGGCATGTATGTCCTTGACTTCTTTTTTATTTTCTCCTTAATTTCTGGCCCATGAGGAACTCATAATGTCTAAGCATTCCTTGTTCTGAGGCTTACGCTCCATCCCTTCTCATAATCAATTGCATTTTTTTAATTAAAAAATTTTTTTTGGAGATTGGGTCTCACTATATTGCTCAGGCTGGCCTCAATCTCTTGAACTCAAGCAATTCCCCGGCCTCAGCCTCCCAAGTAGCTGGGACTACAATCACATACCACTATGCCTGACTTACTTGCATATTTTTAATCATGTTTTCAATCACCTTTTTTTTTTCTCTCTCTCTCCACCCAATACATACATTTCCATCTCAAATGTAGTAGGAAACCAAAACTTTGGCATGCTGGTTACATGATTACATTTTAAAGAATGGAATAAGCTCCTATTTAAAATGGTAAACAAGTTCCTGATTTTTTTATGCTCATTCAGAGCTGTTAATTTTTCTAAATTCTCCAGCCCTCAGATGTAGGGCTTTATCAAGAAATGAATTGTGAATTGACTGGAGATATCAATACTTTATAAACCAAGAAGGAGTGGTGTTCTAGCAATCTACTCACAGAAAGGCCACCCCAGAATGGGTATCCACTAGTAACAGCAGAGGCAAAACCGAGTACTCTTCCATAAGGGGATACTATTAGACACAAAATAATTCCAAAACCAAGGTGCATCAATCCAACCATGATCTGGATTACCTGAAAAAAGAAAACAACCATTTTAAAATTACTTCTTCACTTTCAGACGTGTGAAACATTACTGTCATTGCTGCCCCTGCTTATTGATTGTCAATTTTGCTGAGATCCATGGTTGTCATTCAGGCACGCATCCGAAGCAGGAGGTGGGCCATGAAGATTCTGACATACACTAGAATAACTGGAGTGCAGGGCCCTTAGTGAAGCGCCTTGTTTTGAGGTATTTGGGGAGACTTATTGGGGTGGCCCAGGAAGAATTCTTCAGAAAGTACAGCTGCTTAATCATGCGTTAGCATCTCTGAAGGCTTCTAAAAGACTATTAGAAAAAAAATACTTTAACTGTGATGTCAGCAGTTGCTTTTTCAGATGGATCAGTTCTCTGCTTGGGTCATCCCAGTTACGGGTAAAGGGACTGATGAAGATAAAACCATTCATAAGGCATGAATTATGTGCTTAGTCATGTTCTGAACACTTTACATTTATTGTTTCATGTAGTCCTCCCACAATTGGATTGAGTCCCAGAGACATAAAGACATGTGAGACCTTGTATCCAAGGTCATGCAATTCCTGAGGGGCAGATCTGGGAATTTACTGCAGCACATTGACTGCTGAGCCTGTCTGAACTATTCAGTACTGTCTTCCCCCATGCTCAGCTCTGCTCTACCTCTTCCATGAAGTCGTCTTGATTACACTAAATTAATCTTTTTTCTTTCTTTCTAAATTTCTGTTGCATCTCATGACATAAGACACACCTTGTTACTTGATTTTGTATTCATTGATATTGTTCTCTTTTAAAAAGTTGCAGGTGTGCAATCATTTTCTTACCATTCTTCTTACCAATCATATATTACTAAAAGTAAGGTATGCGTCTTTTAGCTCCTTGTACCTCTTATTGAACCTTCCTTCACTGTAAATAAAGATAGATTTCTGAGGAATAACCATTTCTAGATTGGTCCAAAAGTTGACTGTAGATTTGTCATTTATTTTTCCCCATGTTTACACCTTATCTATCCAGGAAGACTGCAAATACAAAGACTACTGTGTTTATTCAATAAAAAGCTACTGAACACAAGTAAATTGAATTAAAATAAAAAAAACCCAGTTTTATAAACAATGCTAAAAGTTTCTTGAGACTTTGATAAAAACCGTGAACCTTTCTCCCTAAAAAATTATTCTTGCACCTCCATACACACACATACCATACTTTTGCATATAGTTTCAGAGGCATGATGGGCCTCTTTTAGCCTATCTCACTTAAAGAACTCCTGTATTAGACTTTATATTTGGTTTTTACAACTCTTCTTTAGAGCAGCAATTTAGCCATCTGGCCACAAACTTCCCATCCTCATCCTTGCTGTCACCTTGGTGAGGGACAGTTAGATCTGGATTTGTACTGGCCCTCATTTCTCCTCCTACAGCCCTGGCTGTACCATTTACTGATGAAAATTGCCTATAGGACACACTTAAAAATTTGGACATACAATTTGTCTGCGTTTGTGGACACAGAAGCACTTTAAGGTCTGAGTTGACTGGTACAGGTGTGCCACGTCCTGCCACCTGTGGCCCCTGCACTGTCGTGATGCCTGGGGCCTGCTGATGGTATAGAAATAACAATCTGCAGAGAGAGGAAGTAGCTTCTGCCAACTGGAACTTTAAACAAAACTTCATAGTCTTTTAAAGTATTTTTATCACACGCCTTTTTGGTGCCAGGCAGCATGCTTCAGTGGTTCGTCATCCACTTAGTCAAAGCCAAAGCCTTCTGCTCTGCAGGCCTCACCAGCTGTGGCCTCTGCCACTCCTCTGCCCTCCTGACAACTGCTCCCTCCCTCCCTCATTCTGTTCTATTTTATTGGCCTTCTCCCTGTTTTTCAAATACATCACAGATATTTTCATCTAAAGACTTTTACACTGGTTGTTTTCACTTTCCCTGATATCTGCAGGGCTCACTCCTAACTTCAGGTTTTTGCTCAAATGTCATGTTCTAAGGAAAGCCCATTCTGACCGCCTTGAAATTGCTGCCTCCTCCCTGTCTGGTACTTTTTAGCCCTTTTACACTTCTTTGTTTTGTCCATATCATTCGACACCTTCTAATACACTAAGTACTTTACTTCCTTCTTATGTGTACAGTCTGATTTCCCCCACTAGGGCAAAAGTTCTGTAAAGGCAGAGATTGCACCTGCTTTGTACTCGGTGATATATTCCAAGCACCTATGTGGGGTTGGCTGTATGGGGGGTTTGTCCCATTGGCTTATTAGAAGTGGGGAATTTCCTCTATCTGGGAGGAGGAGGATCAGAAGGGCCACCTCCACAGCTTAGTAAATAGGCTGCTGCAAGAGAACTTAGGCTCATTTTTACTTCCCTAAAACATCACAACTTGAAATAGGTAGTAAGATGACTAGAAGATTTTCTGGCACATAATGAGCGTTCATTTACGGAATGCTCCAGCAGAGAATTTCGAGCTATTCACAGGGAGAGACTTAATATAATTTGGTGGAATTGTACTAGTGGGATGAATGATGTATTTGGAAAGCACAGCTAAGGGAGTAACAATTCTACCTAGGCAGGTGGAATTTTCTTACAAATAGGGCATTTTTGTTTTTACAATGCCTACAGAAACAAGGTGGTCAGTTCAGAGTCTCCTTTGTAGAAATAAGGTGACAGTTACGCTGTAGCATCTCTAAGGATATTGGCGAGAGAGGCACAGCAGATGGAATGTCCCCCAATTCTTTCACCCTCAGCCTTTCCCAGACTGCCCATTTGTAGTTTCCTTTTCTGGAGGCAGCCATCAATGTTCATTTTTATGTAAATTCACCTTTATGCAAATACCTGACTTGTAACCAATCCGGAGACGGGATTGAGATTGTCCAAAAAGTCCTTTGAAGAAATGAGATCAAGCTAGATGTAGTAGAGTTTCCGTCATGTCAATATTACCAAATCCTCCAGCTAGGGAGGTTCCTCTGTCTCCTGTTATATTTTTGCTTGATCTAAAATGAAATGAACTCAAGGGAAAGTCTATAGGCAGACTAAATATTTCTGTCTAAAAGGGATAGTTTCAGAATAACATTCAAAACTTTTTAGCAATTGGATGATATTCTCTTCTCCTATAACTTATAAGAAGACCTTGCAAATGTGAATTTAAAATTCTAGTAGTAAATAGACTTACCCCTAGTACCTTTGCTTCTTCTTTAAAGTTTATTACTGCTCTTCCCACGCTTGGATTTATCATTTGTATATTTCCTTGACCTGGTTGACTGACAGCAGAGGTTCCTGGAGATGTGATGAAGTAGGGCTGAGCACTCTGAGCACCCTGAGCTTGGTTTTCTAAGTTGATTGAACCCGGAGGCTGTTGAGATCCAGGAGCTGTAAAGCTGCTTGGTGGGTAGTAAGGGTTGGGTGTGGTTTCATATACTCCAGCATGGCTTGTTGGCTTGGATGACACCATGATGTCCTAAGTATCACAAAACATACCAAAGTGATACGTTTATCCAGAAAAGAAACTAAAGTAAATCTTACCAAATATCAAATGTCAATTATCTATGCAAATGGAGAGAGCAAGTGACAGATAATGGTCCATAACATCTGATAGAAACATGATTCTCATAAATCCCCAACCCCCAGGCCAAGGACTGGTACCCGTCCGTGGTCTGTTGGAAATCTGGCCACACTACATGAGGTAAGCAGCGGGCAAGCATTACTGCCTGTGCTCTGCCTCCTATCAGATCAGCACGGCATTGGATTCTCATAGCAGCGTGAACCCTGCTGTGAACTGCGCATGCTGGGGATCTAGGTTGCATGCTCCTTATGAGACTCTAATGTCTGATGATCTGAGGTGGAACAGTTTCATCCCGAACCCATCTCTCATTAGAGAGATGCTATGCTGCTGATTGTGAAGATGGAGGAAGGCGTCCATGAACCAAGGAATGTGGGTCACCTCTAGAAGCTGGATGAAACAAGGAAACAGATTCTTCCTAGAGTCTCCAGGAAGGAACCTGACTCTGCTGACACCTTGACCTTAGTCTAGTGAGCTGGTATGGGACTTCTGACCTACACAACTGTCAGATAAAATAATATATTGTTTTAGGCCACTATGTTTGTGGTAGTTTGTTATATCAAGAAATAGAAAACTAATACAGGGGCCAAGTAATACAATACTTGTATGGCAAAGAGGGCAGTCCAAGATTAAAATTATTTGCCAGTAATTGGGAAACTAGATAGTTCACATATGCCCATTTAAGACGATTCTCCTGTTCTTTAGGAAAAATGCTCTTACTCATTTCTGTCCTTCTGAAAGCTTAGAGCATCTCAGGCCCCATGTAGCCAAGGGAAATTTTGTTGGAAATAAGCCAATACAACTGGATATGGACAACAATGACTATTAATTCTTGAAAAAAAATTATGACACTTAAAAAATTTGTCATTAGCCTTAGATTCCTTTTTTTGAGGTCTTCTCAAATAATTTTTCATGTACTTATGAGTATCAAGAAAGTTACAGTGATGAATGTCTCATTCTTGGTATGAAGTATGAATACTATGAATAACCTATTGGTACAGTGTTTCACTGGTATCTAACAGGGACACATATTCAGACCCTGTGCTCATGGAATCCAGAAATTTTAGGGTAGGAAAGACCCTTTCCATTTATCCTGTCTCATTCCCCTTCATTTACAGATGAGAAATTGAAACTGAGTCAAGTTAAGTGACATGCTCAAGGTTACATAGAAAACGTGTGGCAGAGTTAGGACTTGAAAATGGGATTCTTGGCTGTTGGTTCAGAATCCCCCTCCACCCCCAGTCATCCATAAAGCATCACTCTGGACATTTGCAGCTTGTTTTCCAGGCCAGCCTTGGTGACAGGGTATTGACTCTGCTCCTGCAACTGCCCAACAACAAAACTTCTGTCTTTGATGCCATGGAGAGGAGTTTATAAACCAGATTAACTTCTTAGTGACTGAGTAATTAAGTTAGTAAGGATTCTCTTTAGCAAGCTTTAGGTGAGGTGTGTAGAGAGCTAACCTTTATTAAAGACTTATTGTAGGCACAGTAGGGTCTGTATAGTGTCATGTTTCGGAAGATGAACTTGGGATCTAACCCCAACTTTGTGTCTTTGGCAAATTTGTTAACCTCTCGTTGCCTTTGTTTTCTGTCTGTAAAATAGAGCTAAAAAGACTACCTTCCTTAGAGAGTCAGTTTGAGTATTAAAGAGTTATTCTCTGCAAAGTATGTAGGACTGTGCCTATTCCAACCACAGGGGTTGGCTCTGTTATCGCTATGTTAAGTGCATGAGATACATTGTCTCTGTACCCTTTACAGAACCTCATGAGGTAGGTACTCTACTAATATCCCCATTTCACAATGAGAGGATTTAATCCAGAACCTGCACTCATAACCCTTACTCTCCGATGCTAGATGCAACTGAAAATGGTTGAAAACTCAATGAAAAGGGAGAAAACACCTTTCTGAAATATCTGATGACAAAGGGATTTTTTTTTTTTTTTCCAAAATGGAAACACATCCAGCATTTTAGGAGGCCGAGGCGGGTGGATCACGAGGTCAGGAGATCGAGACCATCCTGGCTAACTGTGAAACTCTATCTCTACTAAAAATCCAAAAATAAATAAATAAATAAATAAAATTAGCCAGGCCTGGTGGCGGTCGCCTGTAGTTCAAGCTACTCGGGAGGCTGAGGCAGGAGAATGGCATGAACCCTGGAGGTGGAGCTTACAGTGAGCCAAGATAGTGCCACCGCACTCCAGCCTGGGCGACAGAGCGAGACTCCGTCTAAAAAAAAAAAAAAAAAAAAAGGAAACACATTTTAGCCCACAAGGGTTTATTTTAAACAAGGAAAAAGAAACAAGTCCATAGCTGTGACTCTTAGAGTAACACCACGTAACTCCCAGTAGCATTTGAGAATGTGAGGTTATACATACTATGGATCTGGTTTCTATGGCCAAATATTGCTCAAGCCCTCTTTTCCAATCTTCAGTCTGCTACTTCACTAAGTCTGGGGCTTTAAACAAGTTTCTTAATGAAATCCCTGTTAGTTCCTATGTCTCAACTGTAAAATGACAGAAGGTACCTAAAGAGGCTAGTCTAAAGATCAAGTTATCCTAATTTATGCAAAACTGTTGGAATAGTGCCTGGCACATGGCAAGAGCTCAAAAAGGAAACTGTTGTTTTATTACTAGGTCCCAAGGTATTCTATCTTGTTTAAGGCAGTGGATGTGGCCATAAGGAAATTTTATACAAGGAATTGAACAGGGTCAATGTCAAGAGCAAGGAAATAGGAGATGGGTACTCAGAGTACAGTAATTAGCCAGAACAAGAATTTTTTTGAGGTTTTAAAAAGCATACAGTTAAAGAATTGTCCACGTTTCTGCATGTATATGATTTCATTACATTCTCCTTTGCTGTTGATCATTGCTTTTTTGTGTCTCGAGAAATTTTATGAGGAAAACTCAATACTTTTCATTTATTTATCCACAGTTTCTCCTTTCATATGCGCTATTTAGTTTCTGGACTAAGATCTATAAGTTTCATATAGAACCCAGATTATCATGGCTAGGCCTATACTTATTAGGACTAGTCTCCGAATATATTTTTACTGGGTCAAGTTCTGGTTTTATGAAAAGAATTAAAGACAGAGCCAGCCAGTTCTGATTCTTTAATCATTCAATTGAAATGAAGACAATTCTGTAAATGATATATGAGAAGGGAAACTAATAAATAGACTCCTTTTATAGATTCCACCTATTGTCTTAGTAGGATTGTTCTCTTGACAAGTAATAAAATATTTACCACCATTTGTCCTTTTTTTAAAATAAAAATTAGAACAACCGCAATTTTTAAGAACAAGGAACACATAAAAATATTGGAACTCTGGTGAGATCAAAAGTATAAGACTAAAGCAATTAGAGAAAACCTCACCAATTTGCTCTGTGATTATATTATTTCAAATAAAATAGGAAAAAATTTTACTTTTTTATAGTTTCTTTCTACCTCATTTTCATGCTAACTTCACTTTTGACAGAGTGAAGATGATTATTATTTTCAAGAGTACTTTATAGCATAAAGCAAAACATGAAACTGAATCATTTCCGCAAAATCACCCAGTACATGCACAGATATACACTTTTATCACCTTTCCCAAAATGCTAACCTGGTGAAAATGAATGTTTTTTCCCCACCTATTTTAATTTTAATTGTTTTCTTGTCAGAAAGAAGCACCTTAATTAAAATGTGTTACAAAACCAAGGGCTCCAGTATTTCTTCTGTGTTCTGTGTTGTCCTGTGGTAGCCACACAATCATGAAGCACCCAGTGGGGCATGGCCTCGTCCTTTTTGGTCTATGTTCATGGAATGGCATACAGTTAAACCTACTATTCACTATTCACCTTTCTTGGCATTAGTTTTTTATTTATTTATTTGTTTGTTTGTTTGTTTGGACAGAGTTTCACTCTTGTCACCCAGGCTGGAGTGTAATGGAGCGATCTCAGCTCACTGCAACCTCCGCCTCCCAGGTTCATGTGATTCTGTCTCAGCCTCCTGAGTAGCTGGGATTACAGGCGCCTGCCACTACACCCAGCTAATTTTTGTATTTTTAGTGGAGATGGGGTTTCACCATGTTGGCCAGGCTGGTCTCGAACTCCTGACCTCAGGTGATCCTCCTGCCTCGGCCTCCCAAAGTGTTGGGATTACAGGTGTGAGTCACCATGCCTGGCCAGCATTAGCCTTTTTTTTCTTTTTGGAGTCCGTTTTATCTCTTGTATAGCAATCAACTTACTTTTTCATTCTTCTTCTGTTTCGTTTCTTTCTTGTTTCATTCATGGTTTTATTTTTCCTCATTTTTCAACTGGCCTCAACATAGAGTCAAGAACTTGTCTTCATCCCTCCAATCTAGAGAATAGAACCCACACAGGTAGACCAGCCCCACTTTGTGCCCATTGATTTGGAGGAGAGATAAGCAAGGACGTTTCAATGGACTTACTTGTTCCTTTGGCACCTCGGTTTCCTCTTTCTCTGCTCCAACCTGCCAGTATCAGGTATTTACCTGGATTTTATAGGCAGCTTTTACTTCCATGCTTCAAACCAATTTGTCTCGTATCTTTATGTAGTTCCAAAGTCCTTTTATGGTTGTTTCTCCTTCACCTTAAGTGATGTAGATGCAATTGTAATGTTTGGAATACGTTGTGCTTTCACTTCTTCCTCTAATTTTTACCGGGAAGTCTATTCTGACCCTCCCAAACACTTTAGTATTTACTTTCTCCAGCTTTCTGATACTTAATCATTACAATATCATACTGCATTTTAATGCCTTTTAAATTAGATGGACAAAATTGGAAAATGCAGATAATAAAAAAAAGAGAGAAAAAGCACTTAATCTCACCATGCAGACATAATTGATGATAGCATCTGCATTTTGATTTGCAAACTTTCGTAGACACATATATGTATTTTATACATATGTAATTTAGTAAAATCAAGTTAGGATAATAATGTATGTGTACTTTATAACTTGCTTTTTAACTTAATGTCCTATAAATAGCTTTTCATGTCAATAAACATATTTATTGTAATTCTTTTTTTTTTTTTTTGGAGATGGAGTCTCGCTCTGTCGCCCAGGCTGGAGTGCAGTGGTGCGATCTCGGCTCACTGCAATCTCTGCCTCCCAGGTTCAAGCAATTCTCCTGCCTTAGCCTGCCAAGTAGCTGCGACTACGGGCATGTGTCACCACGTTGGGCTAATTTTTGTATTTTTAGTAGGGATGGGGTTTCACCATGTTAGCCAGGATTGTCTTGGTCTCCTGACCTCGTGATCTGCCCACCTCGGCCTCCCAAAGTGCTGGGATTACAGGTGTGAGCCACCACGCCTGGACTATTTATTGTAGTTCTTAATAGTGGCATGCTATTTTATTTTTTGGAAGTGTCCTATCACATTCCAGTTACTTATTTTATGTTTATCTCAGGTACAAATGAGTACCTTGAGACCAGAGATCCTTGGGGCAGGGGCTGATATCTATCCCCACCTCCAACTCCATGTATGGCAGTGTCTCACACATGGTTCATTAAATATATGTTAAAAGAGTTAGTGGCATGATTGCAGATTCTTTTTTCTTTCTTTTTTTGTGTATTATTGAGGGTTTTCTTTGTCTTGTGGGTTTATATTTTTATATATTTTTCTAAAATAGAAAAAAGATGCTGAAGATTTATTAATGTTATGAACTTAAGAAAATGACGTTTTCGTGGCTGGGCGTGGTGGCTCAAGCCTGTAATCCCAGCACTTTGGGAGGCCGAGACGGGCGGATCACGAGGTCAGGAGATCGAGACCATCCTGGCCAACATGGTGAAACCCTGTCTCTACTAACATACAAAAATTAGCTGAGCGTGGTGGCACACGCCTGTAATCCCAGCTACTTGGGAGGCTGAGGCAGGAGAATCACTGGAATCTGGGAGGCGGATGTTAGAGTGAGCCGAGATTGCACTACAGCACTCCAGCCTGGGTGACAGAGCAAGACTCCCTCTTAAAAAAAAAAAAAAAAGAAATAGTGTCTTTTAAACCTAGAATCCCCTTCCTTCTCCTGTTGGCCTTTCAGACCCACATCAAGCAATAAATCTTGGTAAGACTTCTGCACTGTTCTCTTCTGTAATCATGTGGTTAGTGCCATTAACAGTGTGATTCTTCCATGTTGTATTCTGATTTGTGATTTCTTCAAACATGCTCTAACTTCTAAGGGCAGGAGTTACAGCACCATTTTATAATCTCTTTTGTATCCCTAGCTTAGGAAAATGCTCGTAAAACTGAATGCTTTACAAACTGTCTGTGGAGAAAGGCCATTTTTTCCATTAAAAATTTCAATTTATTGTGGACCAACACATTTGTAAAATACAATAAAAATAAACAACTAGGAAAATAAAATAGACAACAATTCAAGCCCAGCATTTCCATGAGAATCTGTAGGCATAAAATTGTTTTAATAAATGTAACCTCAACATGGGAAAACAGAAAAAAATTACAAATCTGACAACGACCCACAACTATTATAATCACTATGACACATAGCTTTTGGCTCTTCCAAAATTGTAGCTAAACAAAAATTACAAAGGAAATAATGATTTCCTGCATTAAAATTCCATAATACACACTTGGAATAAACATTGTGTACATTACTATGTAAATTTCCACTATTTAAATAAACTTACTTCTTGCTTATTAATTTGTTTAATCTAACTTGGATTGATGGCAGTGCTACTTGCAGAGGATAATGCATTTTTAAACTGTTTCTATGTTTTGTTTTAACAATACCCCTAGTAGAGAAATCAGTCTCACAGAGGTATGTTGATAGAAACAGAAGAAATTTTGGAATAATTTCAGAAGCACATAATTTTTGTTTGTTTGTGTTTTTGAGACAGAGTCTCACTTTGTCACCCAAGCTGGAGTGCAGTGGCATGATCTTGGCTCACTGCAACCTCTGCCTCCTGGGTTCAAGTGATTCTCATACCTCAGCCTCCTAAGTAGCTGGAATCACAAGTGTGTGCCACCAGGCCCAGCTAATTTTTGTATTTTTAGTAGAGGTGGGGTTTCACCATGTTGGCCAGGCTGGTCTCGAACTTCTGACCTCAAGTGATCCACCCACCTTGGCCTCCCGAAGTGCTGGGATTACAGGCGTGAGCCACAGCACCTGGCCGGAAACACAGAATATTTATTTAAAATTCTTATGTATAACAAAACAAGTGATATCATATTTTCAAAATACATATTCAATCCATCGGTGGTCACTGCCAACAATTTATCCTATCTATAATTTTTTTCCTTTTGATCAAAAAATGGATTTTGAGATAATGTGATATATTTTTTTGTGTGTCTGGCTGATTTCACCTATTGATCCATTTGTCTGTTCTTTCACCAATACCATACTGTCTTCGTTACTGTAAGTCTTGAAGTTGGGTAGTGTCAGTCCTCCAACTTGGTTCTTCTGATAACATTTTTGCTACAAATTTTCAAATATACAGATATAGAGAACAAAATGTTGGTTAGCAGGAGTGGCTGGCGGAGGAAATGGGAGATGTAGATGAGAGGATACAAAGTAGCAGATATGTAGGACGAACAAGTCTAGAGATCTAAAGTACACTGTGAGGACGGTAAGTAATAAAATTGTAACGCATATGGGATTCGTGGGAAATGAGTAGATTTTGCTTCTCTTGCCACAAAAACAAAAACCAAAAAATGAGTAACTAAGTGAGATGATGGGTTTGTTAATTTGCTTTCACTACAGAGGCTTTTTGCTGTCTATATGTCTCTCATAACATCATATTGTGTATTTACATATATACAATAAAATTTATTTATGAAAAAGAAAAAAATGCATTCTAGAAAGATTAATTTTCAATTTTTGGACCTCTTCTGAATTTTATATTCCTTTTAATGGAATATAAAATTCATACAGTGATTGGTAATAACTTATTGCAGATGTGGAATATCAGAATCATCAACCACTTTCTTGCTAGGTGTTAAATGTTCTTTTTCTAAGCTTTTAATGTTTGTTTTTGCCCTTTAATCTTACCTGCCACTGTAAAACATGTTGCAGTTTTTCTTTGCAAAGAGGTATTATAATCATTAAATTATTAAAGATATACAAATAAGTGATTGTGGTCATAGGCACATCTTTGAAAAGTTGAGATCAAACATGCTTCTTGTCTTGATGAAACGCAAACAGTTCACTACCTATTTCAAATATTTTCAGCAGAGCTTTCCCAGTGGAATAATCGGTTATAAAGAATGTTTAAATTTTCTCAATTTTTAAATATATTTTCTTGAGTTAGAGTTGACAAACCAACCTTAGCATATTACATGTTGTAATGTGGTCCTATAGAGCATGACCAGTATGAAGCTCACACCACTTACAACTTGTTGTATAAGCTGCATGCATAATGGTCTATACCCTGTTCAGTGAGACGGAAGTCACTACATGCTACTACATACTACTCTCCATACTCAGTCTCAGCCAAAAGGCCAAGAAGCGATGCATGCTTTATTCTCATTTTCTGTATTTATGTTTTCATGAAATGGCGAGGAAGGGAGGGAGGGAGGGAGGGAGGGAAGGAAAGGGAGGAAAGGAAGGAAGGAAAAGGAAGGAAGGAAGGGATTCCAGCATTGGTCTGTGGTTGACGGTTTAGGTAACACCAACCTGTCAACCGTTATGACTCCATGTTTGCCAGACAGGCTCTATCTGGCAGCTAGAGGTACAAGGAGTCAGGTTTAGTCTTCTGGGAAGAGGAATGGTGAGAGCTAGGTCACTCAGGCTGAAAGGGTCAGTAAAGGAACCGAGGCCCAGTGGTATAAACAGAGTCAGAATAAAGATAGAAAGAGGAGAGTTAGCATGCTTAGGGCTCCTAGAAAATGTGTACAAATAAATTCTAAACCTCAGTCACTGGTGGGTAAAGAATGGTAGTATATTCAGTATCAGGTTAGGATTGATTTAGACATAATATCATGTGCCATTTAATGGATACTGTTTGGCTTTGCATAAACTTTATTTAATTCTTCCAACAATGCCATAATAGATTTAACTGCCGTTTTACACACGGGAAACTAAGTCGTAGCATGGTGAGCAATATGATTAAGGTCATGTAGTTAGAAAGTGGTAGAGTCTGTCCAGGTGTGTCTGAGTCTAAACTCGTTACTTTTTCTACTAAAGCAGGGCACCTTCAGTGACTGGGAGCCTGACTAATTTCTAGGTTAACTTGAGTCAATCAGGAAGAGTGGAGTGAGAGGGAGGCAGAGTACACTCATGAATTAATGCCTGGGACTTCCACAGCATGGCTCTTCACAAGGCTTGAAACTCCACATTTGTGCAGTATCTGAGCTTCAGTAGTGGCCTCAAGTGGCAAGTGTGGTACGGTACAGAGGAACAACTGTGACATGATGGTGATGGATTTTACCACCAGGTGTCCTCCATGGTTAATCTTTGCTTAAAAAAAATTCTTGCTTGTTTTGAACAGTTATTCTTTTATTCTCCTTTTTCTGATATAACAAGCAGTTGACTCAGAACCTTGGAAGGGCAAGAAAACATATCTCTCTGCTTCTCCCCTAACAC